GCACCGAGGGCCTTCGAATCGACGTCATCAACGACGCCGTCACCAACAAGCTCTGGTGGACCGGCGACCCCTGCCTCGCGCTCATGCACGTACGTACCACGTCAGCAGGCCTCGTTTCGCACGACACGACACGACACGACACGACACGACACGACACGACACGACACGACACGACACGACACTCATGTCTGCGAACAGGCGACGGCGCCGCCGGAGAGCGAGGTGGTCGGGCGGCTGCTCAAGACATGGCTGTACTACCGGAGCGGCATCTTCTTCCGCGATGTACGCGGAACGTGCCCGCACGACGCCCTCACCGTCGCCGAAGCCATCTACCCCGGTGCGGACCGCGTCCAGCTCGCGCCCTCAGCACCCAAAAAAAAAAATGTTCGGTTGGCTGATCGGGTGCGTGCTCTCGGTGTGTGCGGTTGGGTGTGTGCGTGTTGCGGTCGTGCGTGTGCGCTTGTAGATCGGTTCGTCAAGTATGCACGAGGACACCTCATGATCCACGAATGGTACGCCACTCCACCCATTTTATTATCTATTTTTTTGTATTGTGATAATAAAATAAAATAAAATACAACTCGTTTTCTTTTTCATTATAGTTATTTGTTTTATTCATTTGCTGCCAAATGTGTAAATTACAGGGCGGGATTTTCGACGTTCGTGCTGGATGAGGCCGGGCCGCACCGGATCGGCGTGACGGTGGCGGCCGAGGAGTTCCTCGAATTCCTCTCGGCTGCGCTCACCCAGGACCTGGTCAGTCGGCCGCACGACCAGATCGACGCACTGGAGGAGGGACGCATGCTCGAGGAGGTCAAGCTGCGCAGCTTCGTCTTCGCCGGGTGATCTCAAATGTGGGGGAACTGTACGACATTGTACAAGACTGGATGAAGGAGAGGGCTTGGCCATGTGGAGTGGCGCCCGGCCGCGGTTCGGGGCTGGGGGCGCACCACAGGAGCTGCTTCAGGGCGGTGTAACAATCAGAGGGCTGCAGGGCATTGGTGCCGATCGTTGTCGCCCGTGCGTCTTGGTACCAGTTGAACATGGGCATCTGTGCGACCCGCAACTTCAGGTGAACGGCGTCCCGCAGCTCCTTCACTTCCTGTGTGGGTCGCCGGCGCATGCGGTGGTGCGCGTCAGATCTCTTAGAAGCTACGCGCATAGAGCTCAAGGCGTTGTGCGGGCATCGCTTGCATGCGAACCTCGCCGGCGAGATCGACCTTGGTGGCGCACACCACCGCAGCGAAGGGCATGCAGGCAGCTTCGCCACAGACGCCGAGAAAGCGCTTTAGGTGTCCTCCATTCGCCTGTAGGCCTCTGCCGTCTCCGCTCGCCCTCTCCTGCGTGTGTGTCGTGTGTGGCCTAAGGCAAGGCCAGACCGTAGCCAATGTGGAACAGCGTGACGCTCATCAACGAGACCACGCGTTCGTCATCAGGTTGAAGACGAGGCATCAATTTGTCACGAGATGAAGGGCGCCTTGGCCTCGGCTTGGGAGTCCTCTACGTGAGGCGACACCTCGCGCGGGTCCCAGGGCTCCAGGTTGCGCTGGAAGGGCGACTCGAGGTAGAAGTCCTCCTCGCAGTCACTATGCACTTCGTCTATGAGTGGGAAGACCTCGGTGAAGATAGTCTTTCCTTCCTGTTCGTTTCATCAGACAACGCACACACGACACGACACGACACGGCACGACACGCACACACACACACAGCGCACGACACACGCAGCAGGTCTCTGATTGGCAAGGAAGGTGCTTTTATTTGCGCACATGACTCTGTCTGAAGAAGACCTACAGGCCGAGGAGGCGGAAGAAGCCGGGGAGGCCGCCGGCGAAGGTGAAGGAGCCATAGAGGGCCAGCGACAGCAGCGCGAGGAGCGTAAGGTCCACAAGCAGCACACCAAGAACGCGACCCCGCGAACCTGCCAACGACCATGCACCTCGGGTAAACAACATGACGCACACACCGCACACACCGCACACACCGCACACACCGCACACACCGCACACACCGCACACACCGCACACACCGCACACACCGCACACACCGCACACACCGCACACACCGCACACACCGCACACACCGCACACGACATAGAGGCGACACGTACCAGAGGAGCGGTAGCCGAGGCCATAGATGAGGCGACCGACGATGTAGACAAACCCAAGGAGGGCCGCATAGCGCGCAAAGAACAGACCCGCCACCAACTGAGTAGCGGATGACGTCAGCATTTTTTTATTATTTTTTTATGTTTCTTCACGTCATCGCTGCGTGTAGCGGTGGAGAGGAGAGGGAGGCGGGGGGGCGTACCTCGACGACAAGAACGAGGGCGATGCCCTCCAGGTAGTTGTAGTGGACGCGCTGGGCGTTGTTGAAGCGCACCCAGTCATCGTGCGGCAGCTTCGACGCGTAGAGCCCGCTGCCCATATCCGGGTACCTGGTGTGCAATAAACACCCCAGTGTGAGCCACTCCATTTCATACACTGCTTCCACAGTTCTTCTTCTTGAGCCGAGCAGCAGCGGCGGCGCACGTACCCGTTCTCGGGGACCTTGTTGGGGTCGAGGTTGGGAAAGTGCTGCTTGAAGAAGGCCCGCGTGAACAGCTTCCCGCGCATGCGGCCGACCGGGATGCCCTCGGTCCACAACTGGAACGCCATCAGCACCGCCGCCACCAGCACCTGAGGGGGCCACCATGGCAGCCACAAGTCAGCCGGTGCGCGCGTGCTTTATAGAAAGAGGGTTGCAGTGTGGGGGGGGGAGTACCCAGCCAAAGTCTGGGTCCAGGGTCAGGCTCTGTCCTACAACTGTTGGAGTAACCACTGCTGCCATCTTGTTTGTGTGTTGTGTGAAGAGGGTAGCGCGCAAGTCGGTTTTGTTTTCCTCGCAAGGCGTTGTGTCGGCAGCTCAGTTATGGACCAATCGGCGGTTTCTTGCGCTCCATTTCCTTGTGTTTAACAGGAAAAGTCGACGAGAAAAACAACACCTGCCTCCTGGTGCCCCTCTTTTTTCTTTTGTGTTTTTTAGGCTCATCACTTGGAGGGAAAAGTGATGAGCCTAAAAAACACAGAGTGTTGCCCCACACAACCAGTCAAAGTAGGCCAAACAGAATGTATGCAACAACTGCCCCCTACCACATCACACCTTTTGCTTTCAGCCACAAATGTGTTTTTCATATGATGCCCTAAGATCATGTTTGTGTTTATGTGTGTGTGTGTGGAACAACAATGTGTGGCCTTAGATGCAGGCTTATTATGGAAGGAATCCTACAAAGTAACAAAAAACCACATGTAAATTGGGCAGCCAGCTCTGTGTCTCTACAGAGTAGTCCACTGTCAAAGGACTAAATAAACACAACATTAAAAAGACAAGGTTTCAATTTACCACACACTGCCCCCCACATCCTTTCGACTGAAATGGGGGATTTGTGTGTGCGGAGCGTCCCCTGCCTCGTATTGTTGTTGGACGGTAAGAGCACTTTTGAGGCCCACCTGTCCTGAATGTTCACACCATTATGGGATGTTAACAAATTTCGCTGAACGTCTCCATCATCGGTGTACCCTCACGACCTGTGCATGTTCAAACGTGGCCGACTGCAGCGACGTGAGTTTTAATGTCAGCCTCCTTTGGTGGTGGGATCGTAAATGTTGACAAACGGCATCTTGTCGTCGTAACACTTGGCGAACACTTTCGATACGAGCTCCTCCGCATTCTCGTCGTTCAACTGCCATCCGTTTCGTGTGAGCACCCATGTCGTCCGTGCACGCGCTCATGTGCCGTGTGGCGCGGTGGTGCGTGTGCATGTGTGTGCGGTACCTTTGTTGCGCGAATGGCGACCCCGCGTACGCAGGACTTCTTGAAGTATTCCCAGAAGTAGCCAGGCTTGTTGCGGCACTCGGCAAAGGCTGCTGCTCGCACCTCGCTGCACGCCATCTCCTCCCCCGATTTCATATCTACACCGCGCACTATATACTGTACCCGCGTTTCATTAGCGCACAACATGCAACATGACACCACCACACCACACACACACACACACACACAACCGTCAGCGCACGACACACACAACACTGCACATGACACGACACGCGCACACACGGATACACACCGCACTGCAACGCACACGACACGGACACATGATAGTGAGCCATGTAGAAGCGTACATCGTATGCATGAATAAGCTCATGTGTGAGGACCTCCTCCACTTCCTCTGCAGACGATAGCTTGTCACAGCACAATCGTATCTTGGCGGGCTGCGTGTGTGCGTGAGTGTCGTGTTGCCGTGCGCGCCATGTGCGTGTGCATGGGGAGCAAATGGTGAGCGAGGTCAGGCCGGCACGGAGGGGAAGGAATGTAGACGGGTACCTGGCCCATCTCAAAGTAGGATCGATAACCCACGGCGTTGCATCGCATGCAGGAGATGCTCATCTGAGGCCTGCCAATCACAGCACACGTTTTTTAACGCCAACACACCACGCACACGACAAAGCAATAAATAATTTCATTCATTATTATTTATAAATAATATAATAAAATAAATATATGATCGATAAAACAGTGCTTCACACCACGGCCAAAAAGCATAATAAATTCTAAAGCAAATTTTAAAAAAATAATAAAAAGCATATGAAGGGTACATCTTTTTATGGAGGGGCCAGAGCAGAGGGGCGAGCCTCGGGCTGCGTAGGAGAGAGCGCAGGAGCTCTTGGCAGGGTCGGAAGGCCATGCCCTCCTGTGTGAGCGGGCACTTACTCTTCACCTCTGGCTCCACTATCTCTGGCGACGCTCCTTCCTTGTTGTATTGCTGATACATGCCCTCCTTTGCCCGACAGGTGCTGCCGAGCTTTGGCTTCCTGTGAATGGATGCAGAGGGCGGCAGAACGATGCTCTGTCTTTCCAAGAACACGAGGACAGCGCTGACATTTTATTTTGATTTATTCTTTTTTTATTTCTCGGTGCACCGAACAACGTTCTCCATTTATTGAGAGCGATCTTCTCGGCAGGGCTACTTTGATCGTTCTGTTGCATGCAATTTGCTTCCATTTGAAATGTTGCGACAGAATCTGGCGTAGTACACTAGAAACAATGTATTTTCAGGAGATGAACGCTGAGATCAAAAGAAAGAGGGGGCGCGCAACGAGAAGGCCACGATTTACTCGCGGGTGACCTCGAAGACCGACCTCTTCTGGTTGGAGCACTGGCCAGTCTGGGCGCAACCGGTGCAGCTGCCGCCAGTGCACACGCACTGACCAGTACCGCAGCAGTGCTGCTGATCGGGGCAGCAGCAGGCGTTGGCAGCAGGGCAGCAACCGACCTGGCCACCGGCAAGCTGGCAGCAGGTCTCACCGCTGGGGCACGAGCTGGCAGAGCAGCCGCTCTGGCGTTTCTGTAGATGACGAAAGAAGATGCGTCAGTACAACGATGCACCGAGTACATAGAGCGCTAAAATCGGAGCGTCATAAGCGAATTGCAAAGCCTCAACGAATTCAGAAATGAATTCAGTGAGAGACATTTGGATTCGAGTAGGAGGCGAAAGATTGGGCGGTGGGTGGGCGAGCCAAGTACGTTGTCCTCAGAGGCCTTGAGGGTGAGGAGATCAGCGGCGGCGAAGGCCACGACGAAAGCGAGGAGAAGGAGCACGATCTTCTGCATGTTGGTGGTGGTGTTTTACGTTGTACTGTAAAATAGAAAAAAATTAGGGCCACGATGGTCGGGGATAAATAGACAGCGCAGCCCTTTGCCCATTGGGTGTCGTTTCACATAACTGGTTGGCTGCCGCGGAAAGTTCTGCAGCGCATTATACGCCGACACCGAATATCGGGCGCGATTATATTTATTTTATTTTTATTTATTTTTGCTTTTTTCCATCCCATTTCGATTTCCATTCGATTGATTGGATTGAATCATTGCCGTGCGGGATCAATCGTAGCGGTTAACCATCCACGCTCGACATCATACGAGAAACGAAGTGCTAGCGAAGAAATCAGAGACGGCTCGATAGGGTAAAGCACAAAAAATGTCAGCGACGGTGAATGATAGGAAGCTGTTCATCGGGGGACTGAGCTGGAGCACAACGAGCGAGACGCTGCGAGCAGCATTCGAGAAGTATGGCAAGGTCGAAGAAGGTATAACACTGCACAATTGAAGATGAAGCGAGGCCTCTCATCGTGGGAGCTAATTTGCCGAGGGGGTAAATAAGCGAATGGATAACCAAGCGTGAGGCATCGTTTTCTCACAATGGATCATCCACCTCTCGGAAATGCAGCCAAGGTGATATCCGAGCCCGGCACGGGTCGATCGCGAGGCTTCGGCGCCGTGATGTACTACAACGAGAGCGATGCGCTGGCGGCCTATAAGGGGATGCACGGCGTGGAGCTCGAGGGGCGTTTCCTCTACGTCGATCGCTATCGCGACGGCCAGGAGCGTGACAGAGCTGCCTACAGAGCTGCCGGCTACGACCGCCCCTACGAGGGCAGCCGAAGAGGACCGACCGACAGTGCCGCGCCCTACGGTACGTCCCAGGCACTGACAGCTCATTCTTGTGGCCTATGCGAGATGCCCATTTGCAAATCGCATGCGCTACGCGATCTCACCTTCGCGCTTCCTCCAAAGGTCGGGATGGCTACGAGCGTGACTACGAACCTCGGGGCGGCTACGATCGCGGCGGTTATGACAGGTAACCCCCCCTCTGGGACCCCAATCGCTCACTCTACGCGCAGACTTCATTCTCCATCCAATCGTCTTTCTGATCTCAACCTGTACCAGAATGCCGTACGATGCGCGAGGCGCGGGCGGCTACCCCGAGAGCGCCGGCGGCTATGGCGGCTACGGCGCGAGGGCCGCGGGAGGACCTCCCGGCGGCTACGGCGTGCCACCGCCTCGCGGCGCCTACCCCGGTGCGCGCGGCGGCTACGGCGGCGTTGGCCGCGGTGGGGCGCTCCCCATGCCGCCACCCTACGCCGCCGGCGGTCGCGGCGGCTTCGGCGGCTACGACCCCTACTACGGCGCACCCGCCGCCGGTGTGCGGTACGCTCCCACCCGCCTCACTCGCCGTGTGTCGTGTGTCGTGCGTCGGCTTGCTCCATGGCGCTCACGCTCGTTGTGGTGGCCTGGCGCACAGAGGCGGGTACGATGCGAGGATGGACTACTACGGCGAGGCTGCCTACGGTCGGGGACGCGGAGCCGCTGCGGCCGGCTACCCGCCGCAGCACTCGGCCTACGGCAGGCGCGCTAGGCCCTACGACTACCCGCCCTCCGCCACCGGCGCCTATGCCGGCGCCCGGCCCTATGACAGGTGAGTTCACCACACCACTACCACCTTCTCCTCCATGGCCACATGTCATCATCATAATTGACCGGCTGACGTCAGCGTCGGCAGATATCCGGCCTCGGGCTACGACGAGCGGGACTATGGCAGGTCGGCCTCGGCGGCCTACGACGATCGCGACCGCGGCGGCTACGCCGACCTGGACCGCGCGCGCAGCGCCTCGGCCTACGACGACCGCGACCGCTCCGACCGCAACGGCGGCCACCACCACGACGACCGCTCGCGCGAGCTGAGCCGCGGCGGCGGCGGCGGCTACGACGACCGCAGGCCCGGCGACAGGGACGTGCGGTCGGCCACCGGCGGCTACGGCGACGAGCGGTCCACGTCATCGTCATCGTCGTCCTGGGGCGCCGGCGCCGGCGCCGGCAGCGACTGGGACAGCAAGGAGCGAGAGCGCGATCGGGAGCGCGAGCGGGGCAGCAGCCGCTCGTCGTACGACACGCACCACCATCACCACCGCAGCAGCAGCGACCACCACGACCGGTCGTCGCGGGACGAACTCGCCCCGACGTCATCTTCGTCTTCATCGTCAGCAGCCTATGGAGGAGCGGACAAGTACTACGGCGGCAGGGAGAAGGAGAGCAGCGGTGGGTATGGTGCGTCGTCGTCGACGTCATCGCAGCGAGGAGGGAGCAGCAGCGGATCATATCATCACGCCGACCGAGAGAGGGACGGCCGAGGCTCGACATCGTCATCTTCGCTCGACAAGAGGGACTGAACAACGCAGGGTGGAGTGGTATGAAGGTCACAACATAACACGACGCGAGGGGGCGGAAGAGAGGAAGTTGAGCCAGCCGGCCAGCCAGCCAGCACGTCATCTTCATCATGGAGGAGAAGCAGCCCACACGCCAGCGCGGAACAAAAAGGGAAGACGAAGGCGATGTGGATGATGATGATGATGATGACGATGGCGATGGCTATGCGTAAATGGAACCATGCTGGTGATGAGAATGATGAAAACGCGTGGTAAGCCTCGTGACTGCTGAAAGGTGAAGGAAAACACTCGCCGGTTAAAGTGAATCGCAAGGCGAAAGCGCTTCGAAGAGCGACCGAACGACGTATGGGTAACATGCGGCAGCGTGCGCACCTCGTCCCAGCCTCCGCGCAGCTCAGCTCGGCGGGAGCGAGAGGAGAAGACGAAGTAGTCCCGTCGCCGCCGCCGTCGAAAGAAAGAAGTGAAGAAGAAGAATAAGAAGCAGCCGCCAGAACAACGGACAAAGAAAGTGATAGCAGAGAAAAGGCAGACTGAAGACACGACTACTGGTCCCGTGGGGCATGATGTGTGATTGTTGTTTGATTGATGCACTAACCAACTAGCTCACCCTCGTCATGAAAAGGCACGTGCGCTGTGTGTGTGTTTATTTTAAAAAATCAATAAATTAGGGTGTTTGGTAAGCGCAAGCGGTGTTGGTGGCGAAGGGATCAGCTGATGCGGAAGGTGAGGTTGATGCGCGGTTGGGTGACCCGGGCCTGCTTGGGCACGGCGTGCTGCCAGGACTCCTGCGTGCGGCCGTCCATCACCATCAGCGAGCCCGACGGCATCGCGAACTCCAGCTTGGCCTTCGTCGCCGTGTGCCGCAGTACGAACCTCCGCTCCGCCCCCAGCGACAGCGACCCGATCACCCCCTTGCCCTGCGCGTGCGGTGTGTGCGGTGGTGCGTGTGCGTGTCATCGATGTGTCGTGTGTGTGTCGTGTCGTGTGTCGTGTGTCGTGTGTCGTGTTGTGTGGTACTTCGGGGATGGCTTCGCGGTCGGCGTGGAAGGAGATGTGATCGCGGCCATCGCGGTAGAGGTTGAGTAGGAGGTAGTTGAAGCGGCAGCCCAGCGTGCGCTCGAGCCGCTGCCGCAGCGCGCGCATGTCGTCGGACCAGGGCGTCGGCTGGGTCTTCAGGTACGTCGACGCCACCACATCATCGTCAGCCATCCAACACTGCATGCGCGGCGACCTGTGTGTTGTGTTGCGTGTCGTGTGCGGTGAGTTTTTGGCGAGTGTCATGTGTGCGGTTTAGCAAAAGTAGAGTACTTGTAGGTCTTGCCGTAGACCCTGATGTCCGACTGCAGCCAGGGAATGTCGCGCATCAGGCCCGCGAGGATGCGCGCGGCCTCGTCCGGCTCGATGAATTGCGGGTGCCGGCGGAACAGGCCGCCGTCGAGCAGCCGCACCGCCTCCATGCCCTCCACGCCCCCGTCGTCGGTCCACTTGGCCACCACCCCCGCTGGCAGCGTTCCGCCAATCGTTGTTGCGGTTTTGTTTTTCTTCTTGGCTGACGTCAGCACAGTAGTAGTGCTCGTGGTTGATGCCGTGGTATGTTCTTCTACTTCATGTTCATGTTCGATGGCTTTTTCCTTGCCTTTAGCCTTTCGGGCTTTCTTTTGCGGACTTGCGCTGCCCCCAACGCCAAGGGCTCTCTGTTCCTCTTCTTCTTCTTCTCGTTTTCGTTTGATGGGCGACACGTTGGGGCTCTTCGTGTGCACCACGTACCTGTCCATCAGCTGCTGCTCGCAACAAGCGCAAAAACGTGAATGGCTTTGGTTTGAATTTTCCAGTTTTAAGTTTCCGCCTTTCCAGGAAAAGAATATTAGCCAAGAATTTAAAGGAAAGAAAAATGCGGGAAGGGGGGGATCATTACAGATGGGTCCATCGCGCGACGTAGTTCGCGACCAGGCCGCGGGCTCGGAGCGCGGCCCGGTAGGCGGAAAGGGTCGGCTTGGTGGCCCCACCCCCTCGGAGCCGCGCAAGCCAGGCGTCAAAGGCGCGCAGCAGCTTCTCGGCCTCGTCCACCCGACACACGCCCACCACCTTGTCGTGGTCGTCGACGCCAGAGAAGCACGCCGTGAGCAGGTTGGCCACCCCTTGGGCCGACAGCTCGAAGCGATGATAGTCGTTTTCACGGCCGGCGTGCACCACGGCCCAGTCGGCGTGGGCCAGCAGCCGCACTACGCGCCGATCGACTTCGCCGGCGCAGTCGATCGACCCCGCCGCCAGCTGCACGCAGCACCACAGGGCCTGCACGCAGTCCTTGTCGGTGTTGGGCGTCGCCTGGCCGCGCTGCACGTGGTCCACCAGCAGGCGGCTCAAGCGGCCCACCCACGGCTGCAGGTTCTCTCCGCCGAGAGGCGACTGGGCCAGTAGGTCTGGCGTCAAATGCGCATCAGTCGCGCGTGTCGTGCGCCCGGCATGTGTCGTGTGCGTGTGCGTGTGTTGTGTGTGTGTGTGTGTGTGAGCGTGGGGGGTACCGATGGTGCCGAACAGACTGACCAAGTGGTAATTGTTGGTGAGGGGGACTTGCGCAGTGCGCTCCAACAGCTCGATGATGGACTCCATGAGAAGGGGCAGCCGGGGCCGCAACACGTCCGCGCTGCACTCCTCAATCAGCGAACGCAGCAGGAGGTGGGCCGAACTGGTCTTGTCCAGGCCACTCGGGCTGAGCAGCAGACAAGGCTCCTGTTTTGTTGGTGCGTTTCGGTTGATTGGTTGGTTTGGGCTGAGTTGGAGTAGGTGGAGTGGTAGAGCGACCTTGAACCCGCGGATGACGTAGTCCAGCCACCTGACCGCCACCGCGGCCACTTCGGGCACCAGCCCGAACCGCAGGCTGTGCTCCAAAAGGCCCAGGAACTCGAACATCTGTTTCGGGTCGGTTGCGGTCAGCCCCAGGGCAGAGTGTAACTAACGAACGCCGTGCGTGTCTCTGTGCGCACCCCGTGTTCGGGCTGGATGCGCCCGAGCGCCCACAGCTCGTCGCAAGCGCACACGGCACGCCTGACCGGCGCCAGGTCCTGAAAGGAGCCCTCCTCGTTGTGGCGATGCACCACGTCACCTGCATTCCATACATGCCACAGGAAGCTAGAGGGAAAGCACCGCGCTCGTAGCCCCCAAGCGAAGGTAGCTACGTACATAGGGCGATGGACAGGTGCTCCACGCAACGCAGCCCTGCGCCCATATGGCTCGCCCCGGCGACCGCCGCCTGAAGCCGCTCGACCACCTGGCCCATCGTGGCCACCAGCAGCCCGAGTGATCGGTCCAGTTCGTCGCTCTCCGTCAGCCTGGCCCAGTCGCATATCACTCCGAACACACGGCTCAACAGCAGAGCGTCAACGTCGCTCGGTTCAGAGGCATGGCTGCATGCCACGCGCGCGAGCCAGCGACTGCAGGTGGTGATGACCCTGACCGCCACCGTTGGCTTGTTCCCTTGGGTCATGGTCGACGCCTGTGATGTGTGGCGCAGCTGGGCCTCCAGGCGAGCAGACATGGCACGCTCGTGGGCGTGGCGGGAGGTGGTGGTCTGGAACATGACATCGACCAGGCCACCCATCAGGGCCAGCATGTGCTCGTCGTGGCCTAACGTATAGATGAGCGTCGGCACGAGCGTCTCCGCTGCCTTACGCACCCGGAACTGACCGCACTCACGCACACACACGCACACACCGCACACACACGCACACACCGCACACACACGCGCGCGCGCACACACGCACACGCACGTGGAAGTAAGTGTGAAGAGGAGTTCAGGGAGGAAGAGTGGAGGGGCTCTTGGGATGGCTCGTACGCGCGAATGGGTGAGTGCGTCCAAAGTGACCGAGATGCAAACCGGCACGCCGTCCTTGCGCGGCTCCAGCATCCATTCGGGGCAGCAATGGCAGACAGCTACCGCATGGAAAAGCCACAATCCCCCTTCGCTGTATATACCACCAGTGCACACAACATCACATAACACAAAACATATCAACACATATGACATGACACGACACGACACACGACACACACAAGCACGATACCAACAATGAGACACCGAGGGTGAAGGGGGAGCGAGAGGGTGTATGCTGACCGTGAACGCCAGTCAAAGGCTTCGTTTTCGGGGGCGGGGGGATGGAGGCGCTTTTGTAGGGCCGGCTCAACCAGGCCTTGCAGTGAGTCAACAGCCACGCTACTAACGATGATGCCGAACCAGCCTCGGCTGATTTCGACCAAAGGACTTAGGTCCTCTGACACGTGCCAAGATCAAATCAGCCGACACGACACACACGACACACACGACACACAACAGGTGAACACATCTGAGGTGAATCAGCACCTCGCCTCTCCGCGCCTTGTGTCACGTCGTGGAGGAGCTCTTGAAGATCCGCCGGCAGCTTCTGCGTGCTGTGGGGCGCATTCAAACTCGCGTTGGTCATGATCTCGTCACAGCACAGAGTCACTAATCGCTCCACGCGGGGCTTGAGCGCGTTGTGCAACAGCGCCTCCAGCCTGAAAGTTAGGGTTTGGGGTGGGGCAGCGGTGGTGAGTGCTCAACCAATGTCACAAAGAAGAGAAGAAAGTCGAAGCGTTGTACAATTCCGGGTATAACCAGCCAGCCTCGACCAGCCTCCGCATCCACTCGCCGGACAGGTTTGTCGCGTGGATGGCCACATGTTGGTCCTCCTCCCCTGCTCCTTCTCCCGTCTGTTATAGCCCCGCGTAAGTAGGGTGAGTGGTCCACCGCACGTGTAGCGCGACAATCGGTTAAATTGGCACCAACGCTCCTCCCTCCCCCAACACGGACCTGGAGGCAGGCAAGCAACGCCTTTAGAAGGGCTGCTTGCGCGGCGGCATCGGACGCGCTTTGAAGCACGAGCGAGTCCAGGGCGGCCATCCGCTCTACGGCACACAACCTCACGTCCGTGGCGCGAGCCAGCTGCTGCTAACACCCGAGCGTCAGAGATGAACATGTCTAAATCTATTCCAGGGGATCGCACGAACCTCCATCTCTATGGTCTCACCGGTGAAAAAGTACTAGCATGTCCGTTTTATTTCTTCGTCCACTCGCGAAGAAATTGGCTGAAGCCAGCCCTAAAGACAACAAATAAAAGATTGGATCGACGTTGGCAGGATTCGAACCTGCGCGGGGAAACCCCACCTCGTTAGCAGCGAGGCACCTTAACCACTCGGCCACAACGTCTTGTGTCCTCATCTTATCAATTATTGGGGCAACCATCGAAACCGGGCGGAACAAACAAAAACCAACACACAAATAAATAATCAGACTAATATTTGTTGAGATGGAGGCAACAAGTACTGGCCGAGCGAGCAGGCCGGCGCCCACCACCCTGGTAATTGGCCTACTCTGGCCACTACTGATCCATATACGGATTTGACTGATGATTTTACATGATTGCCATGCCGCACTAAAGGACCCAGAGTGGCAGAGGCGGGTGCGGGACCGCGCATGGGAGCTGGCCGAGAGCGGCGGCGCCGAGGGGTGGCTCCACAACGTGCTCCTCCTCCAGCACCATCGACCCTCCACCTCCATCTCCACATCCGCCGGTGGTGGTCGAGCCGAGGAGGTGGAGGAGGACCAGCGGCGGATCGAGCGGGCGAGGCGCGAGCTGGCCAAACGCCAAACGGTGCTGCGACCCCTGCGACTTGGCACCGACGCCGGCCAAGGCGCCACCTCCTCCCGCCACCAGCGAACAGGTGTGTGTCGTGTGTGTCGTGTGTGTCGTGTGTGTCGCGTGTCGCGTGTCGCGTGTCGCGAGACTGATCAATGGGGTGCGGCAGAGGTGGTGAAGGCCAAGATCGCCAACCTGGAAGCGGCCCTGCGCGCGCTCGATCTCGAGGAGGAGCGGGAGCTGGAGGCCGATCGGGCTGATGCGGCCGCGCGCGACGACGAACTGTTCGTGGTGCGGCCCGACGTGGCGACGGCCGAGCTTGACCAGGCCTTGGCACTCCTCCGCCGGCAGCTCCACCACGCCACCCACGCACTGGCCAGGTACCCTGCGCGCTGCCACCGCGACCGTCACCTTAAAAACACAGCGAGCGAGACAGCCACATTAACATTCTTTCTGATGTGTGGGCGCACAGGGAACGGGAGCTGAGGGCGGAGGCGCAGACCATCGGGGAGGCCCTCACGCGACAGCTCCAGCAGCACCCGCACGAGGCCACCTCACAAGAGTACGCACACGCACACGCACACGCACACGCACGCACACGCGCACACACCGCACGCGCACACGCAACCAATTGATGAATGACACGGGCGCGTTTGGTGTCGTGTTGTCACATCGCAGGGAACGAGAGGAGATGATAGGTCGGGTGAAGCAGCTGCGCGAGTGCAACGCGGCTCTGCGGGAGGGCCTCCTCGCGTTCGCCGACCGGATCTACCCGCCGCCCTCCGCCGGCGCCAGCCAAGAACCCATCACCAAGGTACACCCGTCCGCCCTTGCGTACGGTGATGCGTGTGTCGTGCGCTCATGTCGTGTCGTGTTGTGTTGTATCGTGTCGTGTGCGGTGCAGAGACCGAGAGCTGTGGAGGAGGGTCCGCCGCCGCCGTACGCGTCGCTGCGGGAGACCCTCGCCGAGCTGCTCGACGCCGCCCAGAAAAGAGAGAAGACTACGAAGGCGAAGACGACAAAGAAGGATGCGGACGGGTGGGTGGAGATGTCGACGGACGGGCGAAGGCTGTGGCCGCACTACGTTGAGCTGCTGCTGCGGGCGGGCATCGCCCAGAAGCACCCCAAGGACTCTTCGCTCCTCCACCTACGCCACTACACCGCCCAGTAAATAAATAAAACAGCTCGTGCTTAAAAAGCTTAAAAAAAGGCTGGCCCATTATTTTATCAGTTTTAGAAAATTATAAAATGTATTTATGTAAAAGTAAAAATTTAGAAGAGGTCGGCGGGGTAGTTGGGCTCCTTGGCTGGCGCCGACAGGCAGTCGCCGATGAAGTGCAGCCACTTGAAGCGCTCGAAGACCTGCTCTCAGTTTGACACAAAGATAGTGGAGCAGTAATGAGCGCGCGCGTGTTGTGTGCGTATGTGTGCACCACGTACCTGGTAGAGTTCGTGGGTGACGTTGAGTGTGATGCCCTCCCCGAACGCCGTGTTGATGGGGTCGATCACGTTGAGGTAGCACGGCGAGAAGTAGGCCTCCCACGACATGTCGTCTTCGCAAGTGTGCGGCCCATGACATGAGGGCAACGCCGAGGGGTTAGCCACAGAGAGCCCAGCGGGGGAGGGGGAGTACAGCTGTCAAGGCGTACCGAGGCTCTTGCCCAGGTCGCGCCACCAGTAGAACAGCGAGTGGACGGTCCACAGGTAGCCGTAGGTGTAGACCGTCGGGTTCTGGCGCCACCCGGCGATCCGCTCCAGCGGCACCCTGCCAACCAATTTACATCAATCTTTAATGTAAAAAGAAAGAAAATAGAAAGAAAAATAATAAACTGTGCATACCGGTAGTGGGCTTCGCGGGCGGCGACGACTTCGGCGGCGCTGGCGAGGGCGGCCTTGGCCTCGGCCATCTGGAGCTCGCGGTACGGCTTGGACTCCTTCCAGTAGCTCGCCGCAAAGTTGTACAGCCGATGCACCTGTTTACACACGACACGACAACACACACACACACACCACACACACACCACACACCACACACACACCACACACACACCACACACACAATCGTCAGTCCCAGCCGACCACACTGACAAAGGCGACAAATTGGGGCACAAAGGGGTACCAGCTTGGCGCGGAGGGCGGTGATGTTGGCGCTGTCGACAAGCTCGCGATAGAAGGGCAGGGCGGCCTTGGGCACGAGCGGGAGCAGGGCGGCGAAGCGCGTGGCGAGCGCCGAGAAGTTGGCCTCCATCGCGTCGAGCAGCGGCTCCACCTCGGTCCAGTACTGGGGGCTCGTGCCAAGCCAGTCCCTGATCATCGCGCCCGTCATCGCCATCAGCCACCACCCACCACCCACCACCGCACACGCACACGCACACACACACGCACACGACGCTTATATGTACCGGACTTCGACGATGCCGAGCTTGTTGGGCTGGGTGGAGGCGGACGGGCTGACGAGGGCGCCCAGCTCGGACCACGTGTCCCAGCCCTCCAGATAGGCCTGGCCATTACGCTTCACCACCTTTTGTCGGGCCGTCGTGCCACGTCAGCACGTGACACACGACACGATACGATGGGGGGAGGTACGGTGGAGGGCAGCTTGCCGTCGATCTTGCCGTAGAGGAGGAGGTCGCGCTGGAGGTCGATGGTGTCGAGCACCAGCTGCACGAGCTGCTCGCGCGCCGGGCCGAAGGTGGCGCCAAAGACGTGCTCGCGCAGGATGGCGGCCATGGCCCGCGCCTCCGACGGCTCGCCCGTGCGCGGGTCCCACGACGCCCGCGCCGTCACCACGTCGCTCAGCCAATAGCCCCTGTGCGACCACGTTCGGAGTTAAAATAAGTGCAACCATTTGTACATCGGAGCTAAAAAACGGTCTATCTTCTCTCGTTTAGCGTACCACTCCCAGCCGCTGTTGAAGTTTATCTGGCCGAGGGTCTTGGTGGCGGCGATGGCCCGCAGGTCGGACAGGCGGCCGTGGGCGTAGATCGGCAGGAACAGCGGCACGTCAATGTCGTAGTTCTGTGTGATGTGTGTGTGTGTGATCAGTTGGCGCGTCCAATGAGGGCTGTACATTTTAATACATACCACCCAATAGGCGGTCTCGCCGTGGTAGATGGTCTTACGTCGGTCGGCCTCGAACTTGAGGAAGTCGAGCATGTACGAAAAATTTTGATTGCCGTACGTCGGCGCCGGCTCCGTCCTGTTTCAGCCCAACCCAACCCACCAACCATTAATCAAACGCGCGCCGTACCTCGACGCGCGATTGGCAGGACACGGGGCGTACCAGTTGTAGTACTGGACAGTGTGCGGGTAGATGCCGAGGTCGGGTGAGGCAAAGTGGGGCAGCAGATTGAAGTTGATGGGCTGCCCCGTCAGCGGGTCCTTGTAGTCGGCGCACACCTGGCCCGTCGAGCAATGACACTTGATGAACGCCTCCTGCACGCGTGTCGTGCCGTGTTGTGTGTGTCGTTCCGTGTGCGATGAGCGTGTGCGGTGAGCGTGTGCGGTGAGCGTGTGGGGTTGAAGGCAAACCTTGCCGAGCTTGGTGGTGTAAGCAGTGGTCATGTTCATCCACCGCAGCATCTGAGTGCAGTCCGGGTGGTTGAACTCGGAGAAGCCGCTCTCGGTCGACAGGAAATCGTAGCCGCAGCCGCCGTCGCTCGCCGGCCGCAGCAGCCAGTCCAGGTGCCGCTCGATCTGGCGCTGCTCGTCCGCCTCGTTCGTCACGTTCTCGATCAGCGGCCACCCGTGCTGCTGCGTAATCGCAATTCCACAATCTAGGTGTGTGTGTGTCGTGGTATGTGAGCGCGTGCGGCGTGTGCGATGAGTGTGGTTGTGCGCGGTACCGGCGCCGACGACGACGCCCCAGGCGTGGGCGATGTCGGCAATGCGGGCGAGGCGCGTGCGGCGGAGCTCGCTCCACGCAAAGTCGTTCCAGTCCTTGGCCCACAGCAGCACCCACTCCCACCGGTTCTGCCGGTTGGCCACGGTCCACTCCAGCGCCCGCTCCCAGTCGCCCACCATCGACTCCCACGTCTCGCCCTTCATCGTCGGCGTGACGTCAGCATGACGCGACATCGACATCGGCGGCCGCGGCGGCGTCAGCGTGACGGGGTAGGTGATGTCGAAGCCGTTGAGGAATTCCATGAGCTCGAGCGGGTGCTCGGTGTGGTGGTGCACGCCGCGGATGGCAAAGTGCGGCGCCGTGGAGAGGTCGAAGCGGCCGCCGTCGGCGTTGGCGAAGGAGAGGTCGAGCTGGTCGGGCACGAGCGGCTGCAGCGGGTGGAGGAACCCGAACCCGAGCCTCTGCAGCACCTCGTACGCCGCAAAGTGTGCGCCGATGTTCTGCGCGTGCGCACACACGCGTCAGTTCATGTGCGTGTGCGGTGATGCGTGTGCGGTATGTGCGGCGGTGCGTGTGCCGTGTGCGGTGATGGGTGAATGGTGGAGGTACGGCGCTGGGGTTGATGGTGGGGTAGAGCATGGGGTTGCCGTCGGCAGCGACCACGAGTACGCCGGTGGCGTTGTTGAGGCGAGCCCGCACGACGAAGCCCTCCGACCCGAGAGCCGCCAGCTCGGCCGCCGGGATCAGGGCGCGCGTCGTGGCCGTGTCCCCGAGCGACAGCGCCAGCCCGCGCACAGGTCCGCCCACCACCCGCCCACCTGGCCCCCATCATTGTTTATTTCAATAATAATAATAAATAAGCATTTTTATATTAATAATACTAAAATAAAGCAGTTATCACCATTGAGGGTTTAGACGAGGGAGAGTACCAGAGGAGGCGAGGAAGGGGCGGAGGAGGGCTGATACGCGGGTCTGGACGGCAGGGTCGACCGATTTGCCGAATTCGAGAGTCACATTAGTCGAAGCTTGGGTCAACCCGAGAAGAGTGGCAACCACCACCAGCCCAAGAAGGAAGAGTGGCCCGCAGTGCCTCATCTTCTCTGGCCCTGCCGGCTCGCCACTACCGCTGTTGCGTGTTCTAAATTGCGGTTATTCCTGGTTGGTTGATGGCCACGGCTGTGGATTTCATTCAAATAAATTTCTTTTCTGGCGTTGAAGAAAATGAAAATGAAAATAAAAGAGAAAAGAGTGGTGTGGAGGTACTGTTGTTTGGGTTGAACAAGAAGAAGATGGAGGTGAAGAGGAAGAAGAATCAATCAAATTTACGAAGAGGAAGACGAGGACGAGGAGCCGTCGTCGATTTGGGCGAGGATGGCCTCGAGCTCCTGGGCCGAGTAGATGCGGAACGTCTTGCCCGCCTCGACCGACGCGATCTCGACGTTGACGGCGCTGATCTTCTCCTCCATCACCTGCTTCAGCGTGTGCAGCGCCAGCTTCTCCGCCTCCTTCAACGTGATCGACTGTTCGTTCATATTCGAGCCACCATCACAAAGCCCATCAGCGTCGTCATACAGGTAAAGCACACTGGTGGCGAGCGAAGAAGACGAAAAGGAGGCGAACAACAAACCTTGGAGTACTTGTCCTGGAGCGTGGACTGGGCGCCCTCGGAGCCGGCGCCGATGGCCTTGGCCTCGTACTGGACGAAGGTGCCCGACGGGTCAGTGTGGAAGAGGGCCGGACCGTTCTCGCTGTCCACGCCCGCCACCAGCAGGGCCACACCAAACGGTCGGCTCTGATGTTGGTGATGATGGCGAGAGCGAGGTTAGAAGAGAATAGAAGAGGGACGGAGAGCTCAAGTGCGTGCGCGCGCGTGCGTAATGAGGCGAACGAGGAATGTAGCTGAGGTGAGAATGTACCATGGCCTTCTCAGACTTGCGGTCCTCGCCGAAGCGGAGGGCGAGGTCGCAGATGGCTTGCGTGCACGACTCGACCGACATGGGCTCATCGAACGTGAAGGTGTGGTTCTGGTCGTGGTGAGAATGATTGGCGTTTGTGTCGAAACAAGTCAGCAACGCCAACGCACGAAGTGTGCGGTCCACGTGTGCGAAGGTGCGCATGCTTGTGTGAGGCGTCAGGACAGCGTGTGTGAGTTGCAGGCGGGCGAACCTGTGCTTCAACTCGGGCGTAGTCGATAAGGGTCTTGGCATCTCCAGTGAGACCGCTCATGGCGGCACCGATGTGAGCGTCGATTTCCATAATCTTCTCCACGCTGCTGGGCTCGAGAAGGGGCGACGTGAGGCGCTTCTCCACAGCCAGGATCACACCCTCAGAAGTCTGGATGCCAATCGCAGTGGAGCCCAGCTGTGGCGTGGCACGCATTGATTTGATGTATCAATATCAAATAAGACTTGTGCTGATCTTAGTGCACGGGGGGGGGGGAAGGCGAACCTTGATGGCTTCAATGGCATATTCGACCTGGAAGAGACGACCCTCAGGGGAGAAGGTGTTCACGCCACGATCGTACTCAGTCCTTCAATGGTAAAGAGTGCGAAGTGTCAATTAATGAGAAATGAAGATGCAGATCGTCGAAGCTGCCGCTACGTTTGTGGCAGATACGAAGCGAAGTAGGCGAAACGGACTCGACCCACGTACCTGGTAAGAAACATTCTGTGTGATCTCTTGTTCTGGTTCTGATTTGCTCAAAGATGTTGCGTTTTTTCGCCACCACAGCGATCCGCAAAGGCCACCCACGTCTTTGCTGGCTGTCTCCTTGGCCCGTCTGTTCCGGCCCACGCCCTCAAGCCCCAAATTCCAGAAATATCTCACATACCCAAGGTACTGGGCGACTGCCGGCGACCAGGGTAGTTACTCAGCGACTACACCTCCGCGCTACGACCAGCCCTCTTACTCTTCATTGTGTACATACACCAAAGGAATGCAACACTGCTTACTGCAGCTTCTGGAGGTACCACGAGTACCACAGGCCGTCATAGGTCGACAACAGCTGCAGGTTGTTGGCAAACACGAACTCGTTCACCGCTCCCTTCACCGCCCCGCTCCCCTCCGACCCTGCATATATGTGACACATGAAGCAAACAAAGGCGATCAACAACAACATTCCAGCTTCAGCCCAAGAATGCAAACACATACCGTCCATGCACTGACGCCACGATTGGCCGCCCTTGGCGGCTTCGGCGGCCGAAAGGTAGTCGTGGCCGGCGAGGATGCCGCCCATGCGCAGCTTGGGCCACCACTCGCGCAGGTCCTCGCGCACCCCGCAGTAGTCGTGCCGCGCGTCGATGTAGATGAAGTCGAGCGAATCGTCGGGCACCAGCTTGGCCGCCTCGGTCGTGTACATGCGCATGAACTCAGTGATGTTGGCGTGCTGCGCCAAACGCTTCTTAGTCGCTTGGAAGAGCGACTCCTGCTTATTGTTGTCCACCTTCACCCCGACTACCACCCGTTAGAACGACACACTCCGTGCCACGCGACGCGACACGACGTGTGTTGTGTAGAGCGCATACGTTGGCGGTGTCGTCGTAGCGCTCCTGCTGGTGCCACAAATCGACGAGAATGTACTTCTCGCAGCTTTTCCAGCGCGCCAGGATGTCCTTCGAACAGACCTGCCTGCACGCCTGCGCACGACACGACGCACGACCACCACGCCACACAGTCGTGGTTAGGTGTGCCTAGTTGCGTTATTCAAGGGGGGAGGCGCAAATGAAATTAATAACTAAATACCGAGCTCGGCGCCGGTCTTGAGTCCGTAGAGCTCGGCCAGGCAGCCCAGGTCCTCGCGATGGGCGATGGGCACCAGCGGCAGCCGGCGCCCGCCCGCCCTCTGCCGCCGCTCCTCCCCCTCGTCTCCCTCATCGCCCCACCAGTTGGCCTTGGGCGGAATGAGCGAGCCGCACTGTTTGTAGACCGAGTCCACGTCGGCGTCGGGCGCCCGCGCCGGGTACTTCCACGTGTACCAGTTGGCGTCCGTTACCACCTTCCCCTTGTCGTCCACACTGTTCTTGGGCTTCGTCGCGGGTTTCTTGTGGCTGTCGTGGTCGTGGTTGTCGTGGGTGTCAACGGGGGGTACCACGGCGACCTTCTTGGGCTTCTCCACGTTGCCGCGGGCCGTGGTGGTCGCCGGCGGGGTCTGGCGCGATCAGCGGACGTCAGCCGGCCAGGAAGGCCCCGGGAAACAAACTTTCTCATCCAAGGAAGTGTATGGGGGGGGGAAGCGTACGGTGAGGGGGAGGAGGAGGAGGAGGGGGACTGGAGGAAGAGGCGAGGAAGAGGTAGAGACAGAACGAGAACAGGGCGAAGCCCAACAGGATGAAGATGGGCGGCACTGGAAACCGAGAGCGCGAGTTCATCATCTTTTAGGGTTCTTTCTCGACGAACGAACGAATGAGTTCACGCAGCCCTCCTGTAAGGGTTTGTTGATGGACCGCCGAGAGTCTGAAAAAGATGGACAGTGCCGTCGCGATGCGGTGTTCCCTTGAGGGGGGAGGTGTGGTCGGAGTGAGGAGAAAGAGGAGTTGGTTGGGCGGCCAGCTGCAAACTGGTCTGGCCTGTCACGACACCTAACGGCGCCTGATCGTGGTCTTTATTGCCACTAAAATGGGAACCAATCCGGGGGTCTCGCAGAGGACACCATTTTCCAGCTTAAAACCGGGCACCGACGGCGAAGAAATAATAAAGAACGATTTGGCCAAGACTCGAATTCCATTTGTTGATCTTGCAATCGCCCTGTCTCGGTTCTCCGGAGGAGAGCGAAAGACCCGTTCACATTAACGCATTCATCATCTCTACGTTCGCGGAGGAAGCAGTTTCGCATCAAAAGCGAACATAATTATGGAACTCCAGCAGATCGCCACCACTCTGCAAAACACGTTCGATGGATCGAGCGATGTCCGTAAGGCTGCCGAGCAGCAGCTCGAGGCCGTACGTCCATTTCACCTTCGCCCTGGCGTCCATTCATTTAATCTCCGCGATTGTATTCCTCTACACGAATCGCGATTTTTTGGGAGATTAGCGAAGGGAACGCAATAAGGCTCACTTTCATTTGTGCTCCTCAGTACCTCGACGTGGCCGGCTATGTCGTGGGTCTCCTGAAGATCATGACCGCTACCGAGGTCCCCTTGCCGATTCGCCAGGCCGCCTCCATCCAGTTCAAAACGCTCATCAACAGCCGCTGGGTAAGCTACCTCTGATTTGATTTACCATTTATTTGAGTAATTTATTTGATTTACTATTTATTTGATTTATTTAGTTGTTTATTTATTTATTTATTTTTAATTGAATAATTATTGTTAACTCTGCCATGCAGACTGCCAAGGCGAAGGCGAAGAAGAGGGCCCTCACGGATGAGGAAAAGACCATCGTCAAGCAGAACATCGTCGAACTCATCGTCCACGTACCCCCCGTCGTCAGGTCCGTGAACATGCCTTTCGCGTGTGTCGTGCGTTGTGCGCGTGTCGCGTGTGTTGCGTGTGTCGTGTGTAGCGACGAACGCATTTCAAATGGTGGATGACAGGTCGCAGGTCGCGGTCTCGCTGAGGCACGTCCTCGAGAAGGAGTACCCCGACAACTGGAGCGATCTGGTGCCCAAGGTGATGTCGTTCATCAACACGCAGGACATCACGCGCCTGCACGGCGCGCTCTACACGATGCGCATCATCATCAAGAAGTACGAGCACAAGCCCTCCGAGGGCGGGCTCCGCGAGCCGCTCAACCAGATCGTGCAGGCCACCTTCCCCGCGCTCCTGCAGCTCTTCGGCGCCCTCGCCAAGCACACCAACCTCGAGGCCTGCCTCCTCCAGCGCATCCTCACCAAGATCTTCTGGTCGGCCACACAGGTTGGCTTCACACACGACACACACGACACACACGACACACACGACACACACGACACACACGACACACACGACACACACGACACACACGACACACACGACACACACGACACACACGACACACACGACACACACGACACACACGACACACAATTACTGAGCTCACGTTGTACATTGCAGAACGCGTTGCCTCCGATGCTGCGTGATCTGAGGGCGGTCGAGGGGTGGTTCACCATCTTCACCGAGCTCCTCCTCAGGCCCGTGCCCACCGAGGTACCACTCTTTCTTGTGTCTGTGTGTGTGTGTGAGTGTGTGCCGTTGGTCGTGTTATTCAACGCCGGGCGTTGATCATTGGTGGGTCCATGGGGTGGCAACAGGGTCAGCCGGAGGAGATCGCGGAGCGAAAGAACTTCCCGCCGTGGAAGCTGAAGAAGTGGATCGTCCACATCTTCAACCGCTTCCTCGCCAGGTACGGCGCCAAGCGAAAGTCCGACGACCCCGGCACGAAGGCCTTCAGCGAGGGCTTCCGGGTGGCCTACGCGCCCAAGCTGCTGGAGACCCTCCTGCAGCTCCTGTCGGGCATTCCCAACGGTCAGTTCCTGCCCGCCCGCCTCGTCGCCGTCGCCCTCAACTTCATGGGCCACGCGTACGTCGAGCACCCACTTTTTTTTCTTTTTCTTTTCTTTTTGCTTTCGTATTTGTGTTTGTTTTTGGCCGTCGCTCACCAACCCGTGGCACGCACACAACTCACGACACGACACGACACGCACACATAGTATTCGTCATGCCAACACTTACCAGATCCTCAAGCCCCACCTGCCGGTCTTCTTTGCCAAGGTACGCAACGGTGTGTGCGTGCGTGTCGTGTGTGTCATCGTTTTTAACGCTCGCGTGCGTGTGGGGCAGATCATGTTCCCGCTGTTCTGCTTCAACGACGCCGACGCGGAGCTGTGGGAAGACGACCCGGCCGAGCTGATCCGCAAGGAGTCGGACCTCCTCGAAGATTTCTGGGACCCGCGCCTGACGGGCATGAACGTGCTGCTCGACCTCATGCAGCTGCGCTCGGCCGACTACCTCCACCTGGTGGTCACCCACTGCATCGGCGTGCTCAACGCCTACCAGGCCTGCCCCGAGAACCCGCGCCCGGAGCACCTCGCCCGCCAGAAGGACGGCGCCCTCGTCGTCATCGGCAACCTCATCGGTCGCTTCGAAAAGGTATTTTCTCAGTCTTATTGTTATTCTTATTATTATTATTACTTCACGCCGACCAATCACGCGCGCAAGCTGACACGTTCGATCGAACCGAAACGAACCACCTAGGTGCCCGAGTACAAGAAGTCGCTGGAGGGCATGATCACCACCCACGTCATCCCCGAGTTTACCTCAGTCTACCCCTTCCTTCGCGCTAGGGTACGGCGTCGTGTGCGTGTGCGTGTGCGTGCGCGTGCGCGTGTTTCGTGCACTAAGCCGAGGCTGATTGACCACCAACTAGGCGTGCTGGATCTTCGGGGAGTGCTTCGACATCAAGTACGAGAACCAGGCGACATTCCTGCACGGCCTGCAGCAGGTGCTGAACCTGACCAAGGACTCCGACCTGCCCGTGCGCCTCAAGGCCGCCGTCTCCCTCCGCTTCCTCTGCCAGAACGAACTCTCCTACCAGCCGCTCCACTCCGTCCTGCCCCATCTCCTCGAGAGTGCGTCCACCACCTCCACCCGCTTCACCTTCTTTTTCGTTCTTCTGTGTGTGCCAGGACTTGAGTCTGACCGTGTGCGCACTCGACACGACACACAGTGTACTTTGCATTGATGACCGAGCTTGATAACGACGATCTCGTCAAGTCGCTCGAGATGATCATCCAGTGCTTCGTTAAGGACATCGCCCCGTACGCCATCAGCCTCATCCAGAAGCTCGTCGAGGTTCGTACACACGCGCGCACCACACACACACACAGACACACACACACACACACACCACGCACACCACACGGCGCCCATGTGTCTCATGCCGGCGCACACAACGCAATACAGAACTTCGTCCGCCTGGCTAGCGCGGATGAAGAGGACGACGCGGCCGCCATGGCGGCCACCGAGTGCCTCGGCGCCATCGAGACCATCCTCGACAGGTCCGTGCCCCCCCCCCCATCCACATCAACTCGACCGCACTTTCACACCTCATTCATATAATATAAGTTATATATTACAATAAAACATTTATAATTCAAATATACGGAACATTTACTAATCTTTATGCACAGCATCACGAAGACCCCGGACCTGTTCCCGCAGGTCGAGCCGCTGCTCGTGCCCCTGCTGGTCCGTCTGCTCGACGATGACGCCATGGAGTTCATGGAGGAGACCCTCAAGATCATGGCCTACCTCACCTTCTACGGCCGCGGCATCTCGCCCGCCATGTGGCAGCTCTTCCCGCTCCTCTACAAGGCCTTTGACGGCTGGGCCACCGACTGGATGGACCGTACGTGCGCCGCGCGCGTTCTTCCCGTTGTGGTTTTGTGTGCGTGTGTGCGTGTGTGCGTTTGGGTGTTGTGTGTGTGTGTGTGTGTGTGTGTGTGTCGTGTTGTACGTCGGGTTCGTGAGCTCACACGCGCGGCGACGTCAATGTGCGTGCAGAGATCATCATCCCGCTGGACAACTACATCTCGCGCGGTAATGATGTGTTCTTGGCCAACCCGGACTACCTCAAGATGGTCCTCTCCATGTACCAGAAGGTATCGGTCGTCATATTGTTTTTATTTATTTATTTATTTATGTATTTCATGCCTTTGTTTTAAACATTCGAAGAGTCGAAATTCCTTTGTGCTCACCCACTTCGCGATCGCAGCTCATCGGTGACACTGGCGTTGCGGACGTTGATGCCGGCGAGGGCGCCAAGCTCATCGAAGTTGTCTTCCAGCAGTGCCGCGTATGTCACCCACCACTCTCACTCTCTCTCTCTCTCTCGTTCTTGTGTCGTGCGCTCTGTCAGCATCAGTCTGGCAAAGAGTGTTTTTCCCCCGTTTTCTTTTCTCACCACGAATGTCACCGTTCTGTTGGTCATGACGCAGGGCCGCATTGACGAGTACGTCCCGGGCATCATTGAGCTGGCCGTTAAGCGTCTCCTCTCGGCCGAGACCACCAAGAAGTCCCTCAAAGTCCTCTGCCTCGAAGTGGTACGGCTCGCTGCCCATTCAAGGTGAAAACACGATACACCGTCAGAGGCAGCCACTGACCGATTGTGCTGTTGTGTGTGTGTTATCGTGGTACAGGTGTCCAACGCGCTGTGGTACAACCCGGCGCTGACGCTCCAGGTGCTGGACACCAAGGGCCTCACGGGTCCCGTGTTCCAGACGTGGTTCGCGCAGAGCGACAACTTCACGCGGATCAAGGACAAGAAGCTCGCCATCGTGGGCCTGAGCTGCATCTTCGAGGTGCCCTTCGCGTCGCTGCCGGCCTCCATCCAGCCCGCCATGGGCTCCGTCTTCATGCTCCTCCTCAAGTTCATCCACCTGCACGAAATGCAGAAGAACAGTACGCACCGCACACGACACGCACGACGCGACATGCGCACGCGCACGTGCCTGTGCTGACTGCGAGTCTCTTAATGATTGCAGAGGTTAAGGTGCCCAAGGCTGAGGGTGAGGAGGGAGAGGACGACGACGACGACGACGATGACGATGGACTCGGCGAGGATGATGATGACGACGACGATGATGACGATAGCGACGAGGACCAGTTCGTGCCGGAGGACGAAGACATTGGCGCCGACGCCGACACTCTCGTCCAGCTCTCCGAAGCCGTACGTCTCTCACCACCTGCGCACCGCACCCCCGGTTTGCCCACCATCTCACGCGCTTGTGCGCGACCAGGCGGGCGAGTACTCGTTCTCCGCCTTCAAGGGCGATGACGACGAGCTCGTGGACGGCGGCATCGTGACCTCGCCTCTCGATGCCGTCGAGCCCTACGTCTTCTTCGCCCAGCGCATGGAAGGTAAACAACAAACAAAACAACCACCACTATCGCTCCATCCAGATGCTTCCGTGCTTGTAGTGCTACCGGTCGTGATCGATATCTCACCCTTTCCCTCCGAAACTTTCTTCAGCGCTGTCGCAGCGAGACGGAGCCGTGTACGGCAAGCTGATGGAGTCGCTGCCGGGCGAGCAGCGTGTGTTCTACAACGCCATCCTCCAGCAGGCCGCCGCCACTGCCCAGCAGCAGGCCGCCACCACCTCTTCCTAAGCCCAAACAAGTTCTCTTTCTCCGCTACTATTTATTCCGCCGAAACCAATAATGAATTAAAAATAATATTTAAACTATTTAGAATTCCTCTGATGATTGTCATCCATGCGCCTGTGTAAATTTGGAATTTGAAAAATGAGAAAGTCAGCGTTGGTCGCGGAAGCAAACTCCTGAACTCCATTGGGGTTGCGTTGGGCAACGGCTCGATGCCACGCAGTGCTTTGGTGTCGCGGGCAACGCGTGGTTGTCGGCGGAGCTATCGTCAACAGCGGAGAGGAAACGGCGAGGCGGAAAAGTGTGCGGCGACCCCATAAATAGTCGGACGGCGCTTCTGACGCCAAATCATCTTTCACACATCCAACGCTACACACACAACTCACAGCCAAGCGCTAGCGTTACACACATCTCACAACTTCTCGATTACCACACAACTACACGCGACTTTCCATCTACGAGATCACTTCGAACATGCAAATCTTCGTGAAGACCCTGACTGGCAAGACCATCACCCTCGAGGTTGAGTCCAGCGACACCATCGAGAACGTGAAGCAGAAGATCCAGGACAAGGAGGGTATTCCCCCCGACCAGCAGCGTCTCATCTTCGCCGGCAAGCAGCTCGAGGACGGTCGCACGCTCGCCGACTACAACATCCAGAAGGAGTCGACTCTCCACCTCGTGCTCCGCCTCCGTGGTGGTATGCAGATCTTCGTCAAGACTCTGACCGGTAAGACGATCACCCTCGAGGTCGAGAGCTCCGACACCATCGAGAACGTGAAGCAGAAGATCCAGGACAAGGAGGGTATTCCCCCCGACCAGCAGCGTCTCATCTTCGCCGGCAAGCAGCTCGAGGACGGCCGTACCCTCGCCGACTACAACATCCAGAAGGAATCGACTCTCCACCTCGTCCTCCGTCTTCGCGGAGGCGGCAAGAAGACCAAGTGCTGCTTCGGCGAGTGCTCCAAGCGCGTCGTTCTCATCACGGGCGATTGCCGCTTCTGCCAGTCGCAGTTCTGTGGCTCGCACCGCCTCCCCGAGGATCACGCCTGCCAGAGCATGGACTCGTGCCGACAGGCGGCCTTTGATCGCAACAAGAACAAGCTCATGAACGAGAAGTGCGTAAGCCAGAAGGTCGGTGGAGTGTAAGAGCTCTTCGATGTCTGATCGTCCTCCCCCCTGTACAAATGTCCTCATTTGTAAACACAAAAACCCGTAAATACAGTACATATCATCTCTACTCTGCGCTTCTCCTGGGTCCTTTAGATCTCCATCTTCCTCATTCAACGTGGCCGAGACTTTGAATGGTGCGAATGGTTCGGGTCATGCTTTATCGATTGAGGCAAATCGGCGGTCGAGGAGGATCATGAGCGCGGTGGCGGTGAAGAGGCCCGTGGAGAGGAGCAGGATCTTGAGGGGGAACGTGATGAGCGGACCCAAGATGAAGCCGAACACCGACCCCAGCGACTGGTAGAACTTGTGGTTGGCGAACGCCGGCTCTGCGTCCCACAACGCCACCCCACAGATCTGCATCAGCACGACACACGATACACAACCACAACCACACGACACGGCAAGGCGCACCGGTGTTGTCGGTGAAGAAGACCGACATGAGGATGGGCGGCAGCGTGGTGAAGCAGCTGTCGCCGACGCTGAGCAGGGTGATGGCGGCGTAGACGCTCAGCGGGTGCTGGCTGATGACCTCCTCGGGCACCCATTCCGACGGCCACAGGAGGCCGAAGAAGAGGTAGAAGGGCACGTGGCACGCGACGCCCACCGCCAGGAAGAGCCGGCGGCCGACAGTGTCCGACAGGCGGCCGAGCAGGGCCGAGCACAGGGTCATCACGAGACAGTACCACGCGAACACGAACCCGATCGACGACAAGTCCAGGTGCTTCTTCACCACCTACACCATCATTCCACATCGCACACGCCGCACACGCCGCACACGCCGCACACGCCGCACACGCCGCACACGCCGCACACGCCGCACACGCCGCACACGCCGCACACGCCGCACACGCCGCACACAGGGTTGGTGACCAAGGGTGATTGGTTAACTGGGGGCGGTGTGCGGACCTCTTTGGCAAAGTCGCCGGTGGCGAAGGCCTGCTCGTAGCCGCTGTAGAAGAAGAGCGGGATGAGGAGGAACAGCCGCGGGTCCCGGTGGAGCGCGACCAAGTCCCTGGCCTTCTTCCCCACCAGCTCCATGTTGAACACCACCTTCTTCTCCTCCCCTAGATCGTCTTCGCTCTTTCGCTTCGTTTTCGCTTTCGCTTTCGCATCGTCATCAGTGTCGTCTTCGCTCTTCTTCTCTTCCACGACCACAGCGGCGGCGGCAAAGGTCTTTTCGTCGCCGAGGAGGAGCATGACCAGCACGCCGGCGATACCGACGGCGGTGAAGAGGTAGAAGAGCACCTTGGTGGCCTTGGCCTCGCCGCCCAGTCGGTCGCCGAAGATGAAGATCAGGCTCGCCACCACATTCCCCATCACGCTAGCCCACTGCAGCGGGTGCGTGTCGTGTCACTCAGTTTGTGGCGCGCGTGTCGAATCGTGTCATCCAGTGCGTGTCGTGCTGTGTGCGGCGCGTACGGTGCGTGCTGCGGCAAAGATGCCGTTGAAGAGGCCCATCTCCGACTTGGGCGGTTTGCCCTTGGCCTCTGCGTAGTTGGCCCCCGCAGCCGTAATGTACGACCCTGTACGCATAGCGCGTGTCGTTGGTCGTCGTGTGTCGTGTCGTGTCGCGTCTGCGCGTGCGTGTCGTGGGGTGCAAGGTACCGGCAGCGGTCCAAAGGATGCCAGCGCCCATGCCCAGGACTGCCGATGCCGGGATGAGTGTCACCCAATCTGGGTACAGGTTGGCCGCTGCCCCGTCACACACACACACGCACACACATCACCACAACGCAAGCTTAGCGGTGTGTGTGTGTGTGTGTGCGCGCGCGGTGGTTCGTGGGCGTGTGCGGTACCGACGAAGACGACGTAGGCGGCGGCGCCGAGCACGAGGGCCTTGCGCTCGCGCAGGGCCTTGGCCACGGGCGACGCCAGGAAGAGCGACGAGACGCACATGGTCCCGTAGAGCGACGCCAGACACCAGTAGCCCAGCCGCCCCGGAATCAGGCTGCTCTCCAGCAGCTGTGTAGTTCTACACACACGACACGAGACACGACACGACACGACACGCAACACGCGCGGTCAAGAGTCTGAAAAGAGTGCGTGTCGTGTCGTGTGTCGTGTCGCTACGTTGCGGGGGGGGGAACTACCCAAAAGCGAAGAAGATGCAGAAGAAGCCGGAGCTAAGGATGGCGAGATTGAGCAAGTGGGTCCGGGCCTCGCGTCGTCGCGCGGCGATGGCGGGTAGCAACGGCAGCCCCTCCTCTTCATCATCTTCATCATAACCATCCTCATCTTTCATTTGCTTGGTCCGTAACTTCATCTCTAAGAGATCAACTATAAATCAATAAATAATATTTATTGATTTATAGTTTTGCGGTTTTTGTTTGATTGTGCGAGCAAACAAAGACGCAGGAACATGCCAGGCACGTCCGGTTGAACCGGAAGCGAGCTCCACATCACTTCACGGTAAAGGCGATAGTGCCCCAGGACTCTTCCTGTTGCGTTTCCTTTTTTGTTTTTTTTCAATTGAATAAAATAAAATAAAATAAAATAATTAATAGGTCTGTGCAATCAAGGGGCAAGAGGCAAATCGGCGTTCGAGGAGGATCATGAGCGCGGTGGCGGTGAAGAGGCCCGTGGAGAGGAGCAGGATCTTGAGGGGGAACGTGCAGGGCAGGGCCGAGCACAGGGTCATCACGAGACAGTACTGCCGCCGATGAAGATCAGGCTCGCCACGTTCCCCATCACGCTGGCCAACTGTAATGTGCGGCGATGTGGCAGTGGCCAACCTGTACCGCTGCCGGTACCTTGCACCAGACACCACGCACACCACGCACACGACACACACGACCAACCACGCGCCTGTTCGCAACACACACGACACATGCACACTGGATGACACACAACAACACGCGGCGCGACGGCGTGACACGCACAACGTGAGCCAGGCGTGTGTGTGGTGTGCGGTGTGCAATTGCACCACGGCGTACCGACGAAGACGAAGTAGGTGGCAGCGCCGAGCACGAGGGCCTTGCGCTCGCGCAGGGCCTTGGCCACGGGCGACACCAGGAAGAGCGACGAGACGCACATGGTCCTGTAGGGATAAGGCTGATCGCCAGCAGCTGTGTCGATCTACACACACGACACGACACACAACGCGACACAACAATGATGGAGAGGTTGAGCAGCATGTGGGGCAACAACAACGACTTGCCCTTCTCTTCGTCGCAACCATCCTCATCTTCCACTTGACCTTCCACTTGCTCGGCCCTAACTGTGAAAACTACACATCATGAAGCTGGAGAGAACGAGAGGCCCCTGTGTGACGTTCTCCACCTTCAGTTCGCATACCAGTGTGCACAGGTTCATTTTTCGCCTGGCCGCATGCAGCTCGCCCAGTACGCTTGGAGATAGGCCCGAGTGTTACAGAGTAACACAGTTTCGAGAGAAAACAAGAAGAAGAGAAAAGAAAAGAAATTGAGCCAAACATGTGAAAAACGACACGAAAGGAATTCTGAGAAAAGAAAGAGAAGGACGAGCCAGAGGGGAGGCAAACAAACTCGCAAACCCAACAACACACCAACCACGAATGGAGCGACCAACCACGCCCGTAGGCCTGAAAGACGCCTGGAAGGAGTACCCCTCCATCGACAACGCCAATGGGCGACTACTCAAGAAAGTTAACCCCAAGGTCCACACCCCATTATTATTTTAATAGTTTTTTTAATAGTTTTTTGATACTGGATTTATATTGATCTTTTTATTTTTTTTATTTTTTTTCCCACTGTTTTTATAATGTAGGACGCGGAGGGGCGCTGGGTGGCGCTGGAGAAGGTGCACGGCTCCAACTTTTGCTTCATCTCCAACGGCACCGACCTGCTGGCCGCGCGACGCAACGCCCTGCTCGACCCGGTGGAGACCTTCTTCTCGTGGCAGCTCGTGCGCGACAAGTACGCCACCGCCTTCCACGAACTCTATCGACTTGTTCGCGACCTTCCCGACCACTCCGACGTCACTGAGTACGTTTCACCACCTGTGCGTGTGGGTGTGCGTGTGCGGTCCGGTGTGTGCGGTGTGTGTGGCGTGTGCGGTGGAGACTGACACGACACGACACACACGACAGGGTGTGCGTGTTCGGCGAGCTGTTCGGCGGGGTGTATCCGCACCCGGAGGTCCAGGATCTGGGCCACCAGCCCGTCCAGAAGGGCGTCTACTACACGCCCGACCTCGACTTCTACGCCTTTGACATCCAGCTCGTCCGGCCCGCCGTCGGTGATGGCGGTGATGGCGGTGGTGCCGGTGGTGGCCAGGTCGTCAAGTCGTGGCTCGACTTTGACCGCGCGCTGGAGCTGTTTGTGGCGTGCGGCCTGTTCCACGCGCGGCCGCTGGTCGAGGGCACCCTGGCCGAGTGCTTCGCCTTCGACATCCGCGTCAACTCGACCGTGCCCGCCCTGCTCGGCCTGCCGCCGCTGCCCCACGGCCACAACCAGATGGAGGGCGTCGTGATCAAGTCGGTGCACAACGTCGCGCTGCCGATGGGCAAGCAGCGCCCGGCCGGCGCCGGCGCCGGGCCGCGCGCCATCTTCAAGAAGAAGAACGCCAAGTTCGAGGAGGTGAACCCCAAGTGCGAGAGCCGGTGGGAGGTGCAGCGAAGGGTGAAGAAGGAGGCGGTCGACACGGTCTACGAGGAGGTGGAGCGCTACATCACGGTCAACCGCCTGCACAACCTCGAGAGCAAGATGGGGCCGGTGACGCGCGACAACGCGGGCGAGGCGGCGGCGGCGCTGGCGGCCGACGCGATGAAGGACCTCATCGGCGACTACGAGGAGACGTGGGCCGTCATCGAAGAAGGCGTGCGCGAGGTGGTGCACAAGAACGTGCGCTCCATGGCCGCCCAGTGGCTCAACGTCCACCTCAACAACGCATCTACTTGATTGTTTCTTCTTATTTTAAACTAGAGGAGAGTTGTGTTGGGTTTCAACTTCTCATCTTTATGTACAGAGTCGCACGCTACTCTCTCTCTCTACTCTGTCACCTTCTTCTTCTTCCTATCATACACCTTCTCTTCTCATCTTTCTCTACATCGCGTGCGAGTGGTGTGCGGCTTTTGTGGGCGTCTCGTGTGTCGTCGAGATGCGTGGGCGCGACTAGATGGAGTTGCGCCTCTCGCGGCGCGGCGAGACGGTGGCCGGGGTCCACTCGCCGCCGACCGAGGGCGAGGGTCCGGCCGCGAACGACTTGAACACGCGGCCGACGCTGGCGAAGAGCGAGACCGTTCCGCCGCGCTCGTTGTCCTCCACCACGCGGCCGCCCGCCATGGCGTGGTGGCTCTGCGGCTGCGGGAAGTGGGTGGCGGCCTGGAAGGCGGGCCGGCGAATGGACGACGGGTCGAGGCTGCCGCGGCGCTGCTGCTGGCGGTGGGCCAGGCCAGCGGACTTGCGCTGCTTCTCGGCGTGGAGCGCCGGCTCGTCTTGCAGCAGGAAGAACAGATCGTATTCCATCTTTTGTAGATTGTTGGTTGTGTGTTGATGTTGATGTGTTGAGGTAGTTGTGTTGTTTTGTGTCTGGGTGGACCCGGGCGAACTTTTGGTTGCGTCGGCGAGGAGACGGGCTGTGACGACCAATGAAGGGGGAAAGAGCGTCAGACATCGGAACCAGGCCAGGGGTTTGAAAAAGAGGTGGCTTGTGGGCCGGTGACAGGCCAGAGCGACAAATGGACCGAGCGAGCAACACTCGGAGCTAAAACCAAAAGAGGACAGAAGAAGAGAGAAGCGAAGAAAAAGAACGAAGAGTGTGAGCGCCGCACCTCAAGGTATGTGTAAGTGTGTGCTCTTTGATGGAGCTGAAGATGAGGTGTGCGTTATGTTCTCTCTCCGCAGAACGCGGTGGGCGTTTTGTGGTGCGTCGGCGAGGACGTGGGGCGGTGGTAGGTGGTGATGGAGCTGGCGGTGTGCGAGCTCAGAGGTGTTATGGCGGTGACGGCGCGGGTGTGGTGATGTGTGGAGGTTGGAGCTGGTGGCGATGACTGAACCTCTCGCCGAGGGTCTGCGGGCCTTGAAAAAGCGCTCCGTAGTGAATCGCCGGCCAATCAGCATCGCCACAGGGTCGACATGTGCTGGCGGGGTGGGCTGATTGGTCTGACGACCCCCCCCCCATATACGTCGACACCGGTATGTGTGTTGACACGGGCTCTGTCGGTGCAAGACAGGGCGGAGGCAGTGGTCGACCGGTGATCATGTGCGGCATCTGATGAATGTTGGGTCGTGCCATCATACATTCCTCAGATTAGGGCAATCACATGCACAATGTGAAGCATGTGAAAGCTAGTGTCACGTTACATGTTGGGTCGTCACTTGCTTGACGAGCCAATCCAATCTGTCCCTGGTCGTCCACCAACTGCTGTGCCACTCAGTCTCCGAGATATCGACCACAACCTTCACCACATTCGCGTGCGTGTCGTGTCGTGCGGGCCTGTGTGTGCGAGTTAGTGTCAGGTCGGGTGGACGTCGTGGGGGGGGGTGGTTGCATGCGCGCACACCACGCACAGAACAGGAACGCGGGAGGGCACACTCCTGTGCTTCGCCCCAGTTGCCGACTGTGTCTTCCACAGAACCAAATGAACTTTCCACCGCGGTGATGTCGTGTCCGTCGCCGGCTGCGCAGCCAACGCGATGACAGCCGCCCTTTCCTGACTTTGCATCGCGCCGAAGCTTCGTGTGTGGCCCCCACTCGCGGCCGGCCCTGATGTCCGCACTCGTGTGGTGTGTGATCGGCCGCCACCAATCCCAGGAGGCGAGTTGGCCGCAGCTTCTGGCGTGGTGAGCGCAACCTCGCAGCTTCTCCCCGTCTGGCACCAGTCCCTGGCCCCACTTTTTCCAGCTCACTCCGATCCGGTGGTCAGCATCGCCCTCTCCAGCGGAGGGCTACACGGCCCTCCGCCGCACCTAAAGCGGGCGGGCTGGGCGGGGGTTGATTCGACCCCCTCCTCGGCCAGCTCCGTGTGTGGGCGAGGCTCTCGAGTGGGTCCGGACCACCCAGACCGACACCAAAATCTGCCTTCCATCAGCTCATGGCTCCCTGTTGCACTCGGGACCCTTGAATTATTGTTTTATTGTGAAATACAATCGAAACAAAATTGTGTACATTTTGTTTTTTTGGTCATTAATTACCAAATTAAAAAACGAAAATGAACAAAGTTGAAGTTGACCGAAAAGAACAACAAGGCTCGGCGAAGGAGAAAGAAAGAGATGGACCTGGCGCAGCAATTTGGGGCGGTCAAGCTCAAGAAGGCCGCTGGTGGCACCCACGACCGCAGCGCACCCATCGTCGCAGGTGCCCCCCCTATCTATTATTTAAATAATAGAGTGCAGCCAAAATAACCAAATAAATAGATAAATACGAAATAAATAATAGATAAATAAATAAATAAATAATGTGTGTGATTCAGGGCAGGAGCACGACGCGTCGTCGTCGGTGGAGCAGTTCAAAAACAAGATCCACGCCGTCAACCTCGAGAACTGGTACCCCCTGCTGCAGGTATCGCGCGCGTCACCAACGCCCCTCCACCAGTCCCGTTCGCCTGTGATCGATGACACTCCTCCACACATTCAGGAGCACACGTTCGCCACCGAGTTCCTGGACCTCTCCATGGACGAAGCCCGGGTACACACACCGCACACACCGCACCGCACACGACGCACACACCGCACACACCGCACACACCGCACACACCGCACACACCGCACACACCGCACACACCGCACACACCGCACACGCACAGAGTAACGGTTGGGGGGCGATCAGGCGCTGGTGCGCGAGTTCGACTGCCAGCGAGGGAGACAGGGCCAACAACAACAACAACAACACGACCAGCACGCGCAGAGCGATGCGCTCGCGCTGGCCGACCTCGAGCGCAAGATCGATGGCCTCATGGGCGCATTCGCGCGCGACGGCGGCGCCTTCGTGCGGCTGTCCACGCGCAGCCCCAAGGACGCCGTCATCAGCAGCGAGCGCACCCTCCACGAGTGGCAGGTACCCGCTCGCGTGTCTCATGACACACGACACGACACGATACGACACGACACGCACGGCTCATGACACGCGTGTGGCAGGCAGAGCTGGCGAGACAGGGACCAGAGGCGGAGAGGGACGAGAACGCGAGGCTGGTGGCGCTCATCAAGGCGTCGACGGCGGCGCTCAAAGTGCGGTCGGGACGCGAGGCGCTGGCGCTGGCCAAGGCCAGCGAGCGGAGCAACGAGGACCTCCTGCTGGCGCTCGAGTTCCCGCACCAATGGGACATGAAGATCATCACCCGCCAATGGGTGCGTGTGTCGTGTTGTGCCGTGCCGTGTCGTGTCGTGTCGTGTTGTGTCGTGCGTCGTGTGTCGTGTGTCGTGTGTCGTTGACAGTGTGTTTGTGGGGTGGCGGGGCAGGTGGAGATGCATCCGGCGATGGAGTTCCGGGGCTTTGTGTGCGGCAAGAAGCTCACCGCCCTCTCCCAGTACTTCCACATCGTCCACTTCCCCGCCCTCGCCGCCCACAAGGTACCTCCCACTCCCTTCCGTGCGTGTCGTGTCTTGTCGTTGGTCGTGTCGTGTGCGGTCGTGTGTGCGGTGTGTGTCATTGGTCGTGTGCGGTGGTGTGTGCGGTGGTGCACTCATCGTGGTCATCGTGCAGGACGAGATCGCCCGGCGCATTCAGGCGTTCTTCGCCGAGCGCATCGTCGACCTGATCCCGCTCGACAACTACGTCATCGACTTTGGCATCGCCTCGGCGACTGACGACATCGTTGCCGACGGCGGCGGCGGCGAAGTGCTGGTGATCGAGCTCAACCCGTTCAACGACTACGTCGGCTGCGGGCCTGTTCGACTGGCGGCGCGACCGGCGCGTGGTCGCTAATCGCCGTCCCGCCGTAATCGACACGACACGACACGACACTTGGTCTAGGCTTCGGTTTTAGATGCACGCAAGTAGACATCGAGCGCGGCGCGGGTGTAGGGCGATATGTTGCGCTTCACCGACTCAGCGTGTGCGGTGGTGTGCGCGTGTGCGGCGGCCTTGTCGGCGTCGACTTGGTCGAGCCAGGCGCGCACCTGGGCCTCGGTGAGCCCGTCCAGTGCGGTGTGCTCGAAGGCGTCCTGGTGGCGCCCCTCGGCGTAGACGGCGCCCACCTGGGCCATCGTGAGCCGCGTCTCGGCCGCGAACACGACGTCGACCTTGCCCTCGACCCACGCCGCGCCGAAGGTGCCCAGCAGCCGCGTCGCTGACGTCAGCATGACGTCGGCCCCGAGGCCCAGCTCCTCCTCCACCTCGCGCAGCGCCGCGTCGAACAGCTCCCGCACCACCAGCGCCCCGCCGCGGTCGCCGCCATCGACAGCGTCGAACACTTCGCGGGCGGTCGGGTGCTCGTTGATGGCAGCAGCGCCGGCCGAGCCCCGTACGGCGTGGAGCAGCATGTGGGGCTCTGGGTGGCCGCCCACCGATGCCCACATGCCAGTCGCCTGCGTCGTTGGTCGTGTTGTGTGAGATGGGCGGCCTGGGCGGATGTGGAGAGGAGAAAGGGGCCGCACACGCACACGCACACGCACACGCACACGCACACGCACAAGCACACACAAGCACACCTCAAAGACCTGGGCCGAGCGCTTGAGAAAGATGAGGAAGCCGTCGGAAGTACGACAGATTACGTCGACGCCTGGTCATGCCACCCGCACGATTTAGCACGACACGACACGACACGCGCCGCACACGCACACGACACGCGGCATGGCGGAGCACACGGACCGATGGGATTGGCGAGGAAGGCGTGGGGCTCGTGTCCGGCCTCAACGGCCGCGGCAGTCAGTTCGGCGATGCGCGCCGTGCCGGCCGCGTTGGTGGCCAAGTAGCGCTTGTAGTCGGTAAGCCCTGCCACCGCGCGTGCAATCGATCGTTAGTTGTCCCCTCACGCCGCACACGCACCACCGCACACGCCGCACACGCACATGCACGACCGCACACACGCACACGCCGCGCGTACCAATGTCGAAGCGCAGGCGAGGACGAGCATCATCAGCGGTCGTCCCTGTTGGCCCGTGCGCGGCACAGCGGAACTGTTGCGGCCTCGGTGACGTCAGTTGTGTGTGTGTGCCGCACACGCGCGAGTAGCGGACACTCAGAGTGTGGACCTTGAGGCCGTTGAAGAGGAGTGGGTTGAGGGCCGTCTTGGCGGACCACAGGGCCTCCATGGCCTGGTGGTGCTCGGCCGGCAGCGGCTGCCCATTGAACTCCTCCCCGAACCGCACCTCCACCTCCCCCTTGTGCCCCCAGCAATATTTATTATTTTAAAGAATAAAATAAAATAAGGTTAGAGGAGGTACTGGTGTGAGTCCAGTGGTGGAGAGGAAAGTTATGGAGTAGCCCCACAACTGTTCACCATCTACAGGCGCCTCCATCCAAACGACAATAAGATAAAAAATAAAATAAAATGTACCACAAAAATGTAAAAAAAAAATACGAACGCCACATTTTTTTTTACATTCCTTCATTCCTGCGGCGCAGGGACGGCGATGAGCTCGCGCCACTGGCAGATGACGAAGGGCTTGACGTCGAACGGGGCCTCGCGCACGCGGAACTCGAAGGGCGCGTCGCCCTCGAGCACCGCTCGGTCCTGCCGCCAACCGAACAGGCCCGGGTCGGCCCCCGCGCCGAACGGGTTGAGCTCAATCACCAGCAGGCCGAGATCGTGATCATTGCCGCCGCCTTCGGCAACGAGCGCAGTCACTGCCTCTTTGTCGTCAGCCGAGGCGATGCCAAAGTCGATGACGTAGTTGTCGAGCGGGATCAGGTCGGCAATGTGCCGGGCGAAGAACGCCTGAATGCGCCGGGCGATCTCGTCCTGCACGATGATGGTATTTGCCTTCAGGTCTTGCGCATGACACGACACACACGACACACACGACACACACGACACACACGACACGACAAGGTCACACGCGCAGGACGGGGCGGGGGTACCTTGTGGGCGGCGAGGGCGGGAAAGAAGGCCATGTGGAAGTACTGGGAGAGGGCGGTGAGCTTCTTGCCACACACAAAGCCCCGGAACTCCATCGCCGGATGCATCTCCACCTGCCCCGCCACCCCACAAGCACACTGTCAACGACACACGACACACGACACACGACACACGACACACGACACAACACGACACACGACACACACGACACAACACGACACACGCACCCATTGGCGGATGATGATCTTCATGTCCCACTGGTGCGGGAACTCGAGCGCCAGCAGGAGGTCCTCGTTGCTCCGCTCGCTGGCCTTGACCAGCGCCAGCGCCTCGCGCCCCGACCGCACTTTGAGCGCCGCCGTCGACGCCTTGATGAGCGCCACCAGCCTCGCGTTCTCGTCCCTCTCCGCCTCCGGTCCCTGTCTCGCCAGCTCCACCTGCCACACGCGTGTGTGCGTGTGTCGTGTCGTTAGCGTTGGTTGCGCGTGTGCGGTCATGTGTCGTGAGCGAGGGTACCTGCCACTCGTGAAGCAAGCGCCCTCCGCTGATGACGGCGTCCTTGGGGCTGCGCGTGGACAGCCGCACGAAGGCGCCGCCGTCGCGCGCGAATGCGCCCATGAGGCCATCGATCTTGCGCTCGAGGTCGGCCAGCGCGAGCGCATCGCTCTGCGTGTGCTGGTCGTGTTGTTGTTGTTGTTGTTGTTGGCCCTGCTTCCCCCGCTGGCGGTCGAACTCGCGCACCAGCGCCTGGTGCCCGATGCCACCAACTATGTGAGACGGTGCGCTCTTCTCACCCTAACGCAAGCGTGTGCGGTGTGTGCGGTGTGTGCGGTGTGTTTACCCGGGCTTCGTCCATGGAGAGGTCCAGGAACTCGGTTGCGAACGTGTGCTCCTGAATGTGTGAATGTTAGCGTGCGCCAGCAGGTAGCAATCAAACGCGTTGGTATGCGAAACGAACCTTCAACAGAGAGTACCAGTTTTCGATGTTGACGGCGTGGACCTCGTCCTTGCACTTCTCCACCGATGACGCCTCGCCGTACCCTGTTCTCCCGCGTACAGGCACGTTTTAGCTTGTTTGTGGGCTGTTGAACAGCAGGGGGGAAACACTCACCGGCGACGACGGGTGCGCTGCGGTCGTGGGTGCCACCAGCGGCCTTCTTGAGCTTGACCGAGCCAAACTGCTGCGCCAGGTCCATCTTGTTCTTCCTTATCGAGAAGCAAGTGCCACTATCGCTGTTTCTCTTGTTTTCTTGCTACAAATTCGAAAGAAAATGCAAATGAAATATTTACAATTTGATTTGTACAAATGGCTTCGATCTCATCGGCCTCATCTCCTTCATCCTCTTGCGCTCCGGCGTAGCCGTTCCTCGTGAAGTTGGCGCAGTGCGTTGTTCGTGTTCAGATACGTTTCATTCACCAGCCCATCGCTGCTCGATCCCAGCTGCCCAACTGATGCTGGCTGGGTGCTGCTGGCTGGAGGCGCCGGTGGTGGCTGATGATGAGGAGGAGTAGGTGGGGGAGCGGAGATGTTCTGCCCCTGGTTCAGCTGTCCTGGCTGAGGAAGGGATCGTTGCATCTCGAACGATCGTGTGAGCGATAGATCGGCGTAGAGAGGTCGCCGCCGCGAACGCAACGATGGATTCTGGCCCTCGCCGGGTTGTGTTTCGTCATGGCAGCGCTTGCGGACTGGTCCGTCCACATTGTCCTTCGCCTCCTCTTCGTCCAGGTCCATCATCTTTCGCTTGCTGCAAATTCGAGTAGTGGGGGGGGGGCAAAGATGAATTGTTAACATAGCTTGATTGAGTTGTACCGCCTGTTACTTGTTCTTGGGAGGTTGAAAGCAGGATCAGAGACGGGGCACGTACCGCGAAAGTCGTCCATCTCCATCCATCGTTGCTCCTCGCCAGACTGCCTTTCGCGCGGAAAAAGAACAAAAAAAAAGAGCTGCAAAACGGAAGTCAAGCTTGGCGCCAACAAGGTTGTGCGTGTTGCTTGCGTGTCGTGCGGTCGCTCAAGTTGATGATGTGAGATGGGCCTGCCTTCGGGAGTTGATGTGGTCGAGGGCGCTCCGGAACACCTCGTCCACGTCGGCTTCGCCGTTGATGAACAGAATGCCGTCGTGCTCCACCGCGTGTTGCTCTTTGGGTGCAATGCCGGCGCCGTGGTCCGAGGCCAGCCGTCGTTGCTCGTAGACCCCCAGCGGGTGGCTGTTCCACTGGCAGTAGGAGGGCCAAATGATCCGCTCAAAGTAGTCCTCTGATGTGCCTGGGTCGCGTCTGCTCACCCGCCGCGGTTACTACGTACGCACACGCACACGCACACGCACACGCACACGCAACATGCAACACCAAATGACAAGGCACACGCGCCACGCGACACACGGCACACAAGGAAGCGACCCGCACCCAAACCGCCGTTCTTTGCACTTCTCTTTTGAGACGTTGATGAAGATCTTGATGTCGTACAACGGCAAGTATTTCACGTCGCAGAACAATAGGAACCTGCAAGTACGGTTGCGCAGTGGTGGCGCGCTAGTTAGCAATCAAAGGTGCCCAGCCACAGTGAGAGTATCTGAAGGGAAGCGTGCTATCGCACCCGTCGACGAAGATGAACGGTTCGCTGGTCTCGGTCCAGTCCTCCTCGCTCCGGTGCTGCGCCGCACGAAGGTAGGCCACGAACTCGTCCATGCGAAGTGCCTGGTGCGCGATGGTTGACAAGAGGTCAGTCGCGAACCAATAACCAATATTGCAGCTCATCTCGCAGCAGCGGTACCTCGGGGCACTCGCCGTGCACGTAGCCCTGTTCCCGGGGCAACTCGTTGTAGCTCTGGTGGGGTCATCGCCGACCACCGCCGCGTAACAAGCAAGGAATTGTAAGCCCAGTACGACCCCAGACCAGAGCTGAACTGATGTGTGGTGCGGCGCGGCGCGGCGTGGAAAGGTGGGTACGAGGCTCGCACCTTCCAGAAGTTGTCGAAGCGCACGTACGAGGCGATGTTGAAGTGCTTGACTAGCCGCTTCACCTATGCCCACGTGATTGCGAGTGAATTGCGGGCCGGGTCAAGTCGGGTCGGATCAAGGCCCGAGCCGAGTTTGGTTGGAGCGGTGGGGAGGGAGAGTGTACGAGGGTGCTCTTGCCGGAGGAGGTGGCCCCGCAAATGCCGATCGTCAGCACTCGCTTGTGGCCCGGCGCAGTGGCCGGACCGTCCGCCGCACCCGGGATCGTGACGAGCGCCTGGCTCTGTCCGGGCTTCACGCCCGACGTGGCCTGTGTGTTGTGTTGTGTTGTGTTGTGTTGTGTTGTGTTGTGTTGTGTTGTGTTGTGTTGTGTTGTGTTGTGTTGTGTGTTCGTGTGATCATCGATGTGTGAATGACTGCTTGAGGGTGGATGGGGTTGCGTACGAGGTAGGTCTCGAGGTAGTCCACGATCTCGGCGCGGCTGAAGTCGCGGGCCACATCCACGGCGTGCAGAGAGCCCACGGTCAGGGCCGCGCCGTACTGCACCAGGCACCGCACGCACCTCAAGTCCCCCGCCTGAATTGCGCACTGACAAAAAACAAATAAATAATTAAATAGAATAAGCAAATATAAATAAATTAAAGCAAAATAATAATAATATTAATGGACGTACGAAGAGAGGAGGGAAGGCTTGGGCAGAGTTGGGTTCGTCGAGGAGGGCGTCGCGCCGCAGAAGGGCATCGCACCAGAATGTGTAGCCACGTCTCGCGGCGTAGTGCAGAATGGAATCGCCCTGCGCTTCGCCGTCGTCACCACCGTCTTCATCTTGCCGGATTGCGGTGGCGACCCGGGCCGCCATCAATCTCTCCCGCTTCTCGTCCACCGACAAGATGTGCAGCAAGAACGGGAGCGTGGCAATCTCCACACCGTCCTCGCCACCACTTCCGTTCGCCGTCACATCCAGGAATCTCCTCTGCAGCTGTGGTTCATCTTCCACCAACGACAACAACAGCTCGCGAAAGAACGCCATGTCGCCTACAAGATCACAACAAAAAGAAATGGGCCAGCAGCTGGGAAGACAGAGAGCAAGCCGGCCCTCGTCAAACAAAGCTGAGGGTGCCTAAAATATAATCGCCGACGGTGGGGCTCGAACCCACGGCCACCAGGTTAAAAGCCTGGCGCTCTACCGACTGAGCTACGTCGGCTCACATTCCTCAATTCTCTGAGGGCTGGTATCAACGGGGAGTGCGAAAGCCTTAAATTTGGTTATGTTATGTACATTGAGTTGGTGGGCTCAGGGTGCTGTTGTGGGCCACTCGACTGAACCGGAGACGTTCACCGCGGCGCTGAGTCCACGGGAGACGCTGACGCGGAAGTCGTCGAAGGTGACATCGATCCCGCGTTCGCGCCACAGTCTCTCAGCCAGCAGTCCTAACACGTAGGCTCGCTCGGCAGTCTGCATCTTGATCAAGTTGCCCATCATGTCTGTTCCAATGTTCGTATCGGAGTTAAAAAAACCCACATAACGCCGAACTTGAGCTGTGGCAGCGTACCATTGTTGCGGAACACCTTGACGCCTCGTTGCTCCATCTCTTGCATCGTCAAGCCCTGGTCAGAAACAACATGTTAGTGGGTCATCAAGCCGTCGTTGGCCGAGCTCACAATTTGTGAGTGCGCTTACCTTTTCGGAGCCCGGGAATGCGAGGCGGGCGGGCAAGACGGACTTGGCGCAGTTGTTCGTGATGAACATCACGTTCTTGCGCGCGATCGTTGTGCGCCCTCTGACCTCAAAACAGGCCATGCCCCACTCTGTGCGGGGCACATGAACATGAGTTCGCCCGTTCCTGCGTGCGTGCGTGCGTGCGGTGTGTGTGCGTGCGTACCAAGTAGCACGCTGGAGAGTTCGGTCACAAGACGGTTGAACGTTCGTTCGAGGAAGAGTGGGCGGTTCCTGGCCACCATGGCCAATCGATTGGTGAGGTTCGTTTCGGCCTGTGTGGCAGCAACCTTGCGGGCGGCCTCGCGTGCGGCGGCCTCAGCCGCATCCACAGACTCGATCGGTTCGGGCTCCTCGGGCAGGGGAATGTTCCAGTAGTCCAGTTCGGTCAGCCACGCCTCCTCAGCCACACCCACCGGTCTCACCAGTTCTCTGCATTGTATGCTGTATTAGAACCCAACACCCAACACACAACACACAAACACGCACACGCACACGCACGGCCGCACACGCACACGCACATGCACACGCAAGACCGCACGCACACACGCACATACGAACACGTACCCGGTGCGATAGAAGTCGAGGATGGAAGCGAACAGGTCCCCGTTGCGGTCGAAGAAGTATTCGTGAGTGCGCGGGACCATGCCCTCGTTGCGTGAGCTGAACATGGCGCCCAGCATCGTATCCGGGTACATGGCCAGCGTGCTCCTGCATTGGTTCATCGCGATTAAAAGTGGGTTAAAACTGGACCTGTGGCACGTGCGTGCGCACACAGTGGGCTGGTACCGAAGTGTGTGAAACACGCGACCGCCCACGTTCAGAACCAGCTTGTCGGACACCGTCACCGGGATAGCCGTCGGCGGCGAGCCTTGCGCACAGTCCTTCTCTTCAAAGGCCGTTGAGAACGCGGTTTCCTCCTCCTGTGCCGGCTCGCTCTCTGCAGGACGAGGAGCTGCAGCCTCATCGTCGTCGTCGCTGTCATCATGTGCTTCGCTGGTGGTGCGGTCGATCGGCTGCTGCTCTTGGTGGGCTCGAAGCTTGAGCGAACGAGGCGGAGGCAGTGCTGCGTGTTGAGGTTGGGGTTGAAGGGCGAGCGGCAGGGAGTGCACGAGACACGCCTGCTGCACGCTCAGGCGAGAGATGGTGCTCTCCATCTCCGCAAGTCGCCGCTCGAAGGACTCCTCCATGCGCCGCAGGGCATCGGTCATGTACGTTTCCAGCACTCCACGCTACGCACGCCAGAATTGATCAAAAATGAATGTGAATTATAAAAAAGAACGAAAAAGAACGAAGCGACAGGGGGGGGGGCACGTACGAAGCGAGTGCGGAGGGTGTGGTCGACCATGGCCTCGATCACGTCCAGGCCCGGCATGCGTGCTCCAGCGGCGTCTGGTGTGAGCGTTGTGGTTACTAAACAGGGGAATAGAGTTGCAACTTGCTAGTGTGGACTCATACCGGTGGGAGCGCAGGGAAGAGCGAGGAGGCGATCCGCTGCGTCCACGTTCAGTTCTGTTGCGCAGATGTCCGTAGAGCCGTGCTGCTTCATTGTGTACTGTACTTTGGCTAGTGTGACAGACTTTAGGATAATCTATTTAAATCGGACTTAAAATTCGTGAAGCGAACGGGGTGGAAAAAGCCTCCGAAGATCCTGACGGTGATGGAGAAGGTCCCAGACCTCTGTTGGTCAGTATCGGTCAGGACAGAATCCTCCCTCTGGCAGCTCACACCCGCGACCAGCGACAGGTGGTGTTCGGTACCTCACCACAAAGATCCACGAAAATAAAGAACACCATTTCCTTATTGGCGAGTTGCGTGCAACATTTTATAGTACTTTCCAAGTATTACAAGAAAAATTTGAGATTGTGCACGTAACAAAGTGCCACGTACTCCACTTCTCTTTTGTCGTACCTTTTGTGGAAGTGCAGTTACAACCTCACCCTCACCACTTCACCCTCAACAATAATAAACAAAAAAAAAAGAGACTTCGCCTTCTCTTTGCCCCGAGAGCACCACCAAGAAAAGAACGAATGCGAAGGGTCTTTACTCCCCCCTTCTCGCCTTCATCGTCTTCGCTGCTGACTTCCCCGCTGCCGCTTCGCCCCTTGGCTTCGTTCTTCCCCTTCCTCGACGAGTGTGCCACAGCACCGTCGACCCAGGGCCTTGGCCAGCAGTGCCACCCCTGGTGGGCCGCCTCCATCACCCAGCTGGGCCTACCGCCCCACACGCCACCAGCACAAACCGCAGCTGGGCACTACCTTGACGGCTTCTTCAACGACACAGAGTCGAGTTCTGGCTACCACCACTACCTCGCAAGCCAGGACCATTTCAACGTTGCAGCAGCCGCGCAGCCCCACAGGCCGGAGGCGATGATCGCCGCGGCCCCGTTCGCGCTGCCGCTGGCCCAGTGCCTTGCGGAGCCCATTAGCTGCGGCCCCGAGGTACCCCACCTGCCCCTGCTGCTAGTCGAGCCCGCCAGCGGACCGTCGTCGCCCCTCGACATGGTGGAGGTCAAGTGCGAGCAGCCGGACGACGATGCTTATGACGATGACGATGGCGACTATGACAACGTTGTTAGGGACTTTCTCGACTCCGCGGGGCTTGCGGTCGGGTACGACTGCACGTCGCCGGCGTCGTCGCGGCCCTCCACGCCGGCCCAGCCGCCGCTGCCGTCGTGGCCGCCGCTCGCCGGCCGCCTGGTGACCCTAGCCACCTCCGCCCCGCCCTCGCCCGCCTTTCTTCTTCCGCCGAAGAAGAAGCGAAAGATCACCCACACGCCACGTCAGCAGCCCGTCGGCCCGCACCTTAACCACAACGACCACCTTAACGGTCACCACAACGGTGGCGGCCAGACCAACAACAACAGCTGCTGCTCTTGCCCAGACTGCTGGTTCTATCTCTACACGACGATGCCGGAGAAGAAGAAGCCGATCTGGGTGGTGTTCTACTGCACCCACGAGCACGACATGACGACGGCCCGGCTCACGCTCACGAGCACCGACTCGCACGCGTCGGGCGCCGGTGAGGCCGTGGTGGCCGACCTCGCGGCCGACCTCGATCTGTCGTGGGCCGCCAAGGTGGTCGTGCCCCACCCCGACACCGGCCGCGACACGGCCATGGTCCAGCACAAGTGGTGCTTCGTCTGCCCCGACGACACCTTCAACAGCCGCGTCTTCTCCGCGCGCCTGGTCGAGCCGATGGCGACTACGGTGGCGGTGACGACGGTGCTGGGCGGGCTGTCGGTGATCAGCACGACGAGCCAGCGGCGCACGCGGCGGGCCGGCGTCGAGCGCGTGTGCGGGAGCGAGTTCGAGCGGCGGCTGGTGGCCAACTGCGCGCGCCACCCGCCCAAGCGGCGCCACTTCCTCAACGGGAAGGGCAAGGGCCAGCGGCCGCGCAAGCCAAAGGACGCCACCTACCTGCTCGACGAGCTCAGCAAGGCCGTCCGCCCCTCACATGAGTAGATGAATCGATCGATTCATCCATTCTTCATTCTTGCCCAAACTTCCTCTATATACAGCGCTACGCGCTTTCAAGGAGGAGCGCACAACTTCAACTTCCTCCTCTCTTCCCTTGTGTAAATAGTCTCCACTTTTGAAGAACACGAACTTGTACATATCAATCGAAATAGAGATAATGATTTGCCAAGAAAGAAGATAATAAAGAAATGAAAGATAAACTAATAAAAAATAATTTCGCACACGAGCATCGTCATCTTCAACTGCCACAGAGATGGCGTCGATGGCACAGCGATTGGGGACGCATTCGGTGCACAGCGTGGAGGCCCTGCGCCTGTATCGTGAGATCTTGCGAACACTGCGACGATTTGACGATCGTGCGACGCGCATCTACTACTACAATTATGCTCGCACTGTACGTGAAGCATACCTGCCCATGCCTCCACGCAGCCCAAGATGAATGAATTGAAACCATGAATCACTTCATTGATTCTTGTCGATTTTCCTTTCAGCACTTCATGCAGCATCAGGAGGAAGAAGACGAAGAGCGGGTGCAAGAGATTATCGAGCGTGGCAAAAACGACCTCAGATGGCTCAAGGCCAAGGTAAGGTCTCCCTCTTCCTCATCCATTGATTTACAACACAACTCATTGTTCATCATCATCATCTACTTCTTCTCTGGTTGCAGTATGGACTAGACGACCAAGAGAAGGAAGAGGACTACTGATCATGATCGATCCAGCCGAGTCTTCTTGACACAGAGGCAAGAGTTGTACATACAAATGTGTTGGGTTGTAGAGAAGATCAATACATCACCACCATCACCACCACCATTCCCACCCACACTGGCGTGCTGCACATACATGAAGGCCGCGGGCCTGCCTAGCGCTTCTGAGCGGCCTTGGAGGCGGTGGCGGCCTCCACGACGTCGAGATCTTTGTGACGATCGTCAACGTTCATCGCTTCGCTCTCAGCATCCGCGTGCTTGTGCCTTCTGAAGCGGCGCTTCATCTTCGACGCCAGACTGTGCGGCAAGTGCGCGATGTCCTCCCTGTGTTGAGTGTGTCGTGTTGTGTTAGACACGACCAACGACACGACACGACACGACACGACACGACCAACTACACGACCAACTACACGCGCAGCGAGGTGGGTACTTGGTGATGACGGTCTGTTCGTAGGTGGTGGTCTCGGGGGTGGCGCCGACCTGGGGCTGGCCGTGGATGAGCTGCATCGACACGCTGAAGCGGTGGCTGAAGAGGTTGACCTCGCCGCGCATCACCGACCGCACCACAAACTTGATGATGTCCATCGGCCAGAACCTGCGCGTTCCTCCAGTCTTAGCGACAACGACACACGACACACGCACGACCGCACACGCACACGGAACACGACACGCAAGTGGTGAGTGCGTACCAGATGAAGCACCAGATCCAGGCGACGAGGACCCACCACCAGCCGGAGCCGTTGAAGTCGGTCGCGCCGTCGCTGGGGAAGCCGCCCAGGCCGTAGGCCCCGAGAACCGTGGCGGCGGCCTGCGCGATGCAGAAGGCGATGATCACGCGCAGGCCCGGCCGCTCGCGCCAGAACATCCACGAGAAGCCCTGCGCGCGGGTGACGAACACCGTGGCGAGGCCGCTCACCGACACCTGTAGGTAGATGAGGCCGCGCGCGTCGGCGTAGGAGAGCTGGTCCAGCCCGAACCAGTTCTCGAACGTGTCCGTGTAGACCGCCAGGTGGAACAGAATGATCGTCGACGCGCTCAAGTACGTTCCCAGCGCTGTGTGTGTGTGTGGTCAGGCCACTGTGCGTGTCGTGTGCGGTCGTGGTGACGAACGAACCGATGGCGGTGCCGAAGATTTCGAGGAGGTTCCACATCTCGGGCTTCGGGCTGGGTTTGACGCGGTCCTTGGAGATGGTCAACATGGAGCCGTCGTTGAAGATCGCAAACATGACCGTCGCGATCGTCGGGAAATACCTGCGCGCAGGTACAAGTGGTCAGTGTGTGATCGAGGCGTGCCTTCCCCGCCTCCGACCGCCCGCAGTGCAGCGTACCAGTCGTAGGCGAGGGTGAGGATGCCAAAGGTGAGCACTATGCGCACGCACACGCTGATGCTGTACATGCAGTAGTTCTGCACCAGGGCAACACAGCACAACCACACGACGCGATGAGTGGACCATTGGGCAAAGCGAAGAAGAAGAAGAAGAAAGTGTAGCGAGGTTCGAACCTTCATGCGCTGGAAGATCTTGCGCGAGCCGATGATGGCGTCGACGATCACGCTCAATCCCTCCTTGGTGAGCACGATGTCCGACGCTGATGTCGACAAATTTAGCGAAATGACCACATAACTCACCGCACACCGCACGGCACCAACTCTTTGGGTGACACACGTACCACCGCGAGCGGCGTCGGTGGCGCCGGATACGGCGATGCCGATATTGGCCTTCTTGAGGGCGGGAGCGTCGTTGACGCCGTCGCCCGTCATGCCCACGATGTGGTTGCCCTTCTGCAGCTTCTCCACGATCGTGTACTTGTCCTCCGGGAACACCTACGCCGGTGTCGCAAAGGCGTTAGCGGGCTTGGTTTAAGGTGGCAGTAGTGGTTGTGGTTAAGGTGGCGACGCACCTCAGCAAAGCCGTCGGCCTGGCGCACGATCTCGTGGAGGTCGAGGCCCGTGTCCTGGCGCGCCTTGTCGGCGTTCTTCATGTACTCGGCCGGGAAGATGTTGGTGCCCATGCCCAGAATGCGCGCCGTCTCCTTGGCGATGGTCAGGTGGTCGCCGGTGATCATCTTGACCTCGACGCCGAGGTTCTCGGCGCGGTGGATGGTCTCCTGCGTGTCGTCGCGCGGCGGGTCGAACATGGGGATGAGGCCCGTCATGGTCCACCGCTTCACCTTCTTGTCCGCCACCGCCACGCCCAGCGTGCGATAGCCCGCCTGGCCCAGGCGCTCGATGTCCTGTGTGTGTGTGTGTGTGTGTGGTGAGCGAACGCAACACAACGCAACGCAAACGGGAGGAAGAGAGAGAATGGATACCGCGAGCACGCTCTTCCGGATCTTGGGTCCGTTTTCGGCGAGGCCGAGGATGACCTGCGGAGCGCCCTTGGTGGTGTGGAACACCTCGCCCTCGGGGCTCTGGATCTTGGCCACGGTCTTCTTGCCCACCGGGTCGAAGGGCTGGAAGTGGAGGGTCTTGAACTGCTTCAGCAGCTCGCGCTGCTCGTCCGTGCACGACGCCACCATCGCAATGTCGATCGCGTCGCCGTTCTCGGGCTTGGACGCCAGCGCCGCGTCAAAGATGACGTCAGCAACCTACCACCCAACACCACAGGTTAGATGACGTCAGCCAGCGCTCTTAACCATGGTGGACCAACAGGGGTGGTACCTCGCCGACGTAGGCGACGGGGTTGGAAATGGAAAGCTCATTCTTGGTCAACGTGCCGGTCTTGTCGGAGCAGAGCACCTCCATACTGTTGCAAACGGCGAACCAGTCAGCGTGTGTCGTGTGTGTGTGTCGTGTGTGTGTCGGATACCCGGCGATCTCTTCGACGGCGGTGAGACGCGAGACGATGGCCTTTTTCTTGGCGAGCGCGCTGGCGCCCAGGGCCATGGTCACCGACAGGATGGTGGGCATGGCGATGGGCAGTCCGCCCACGACCAGCACCAACATGTTGTTCAGCGGCGCGCATTCCGCATCCACAACACCTACGCGTCGTGAAGAAGAAGAAGAAGCAGAAGAAAGGTTCCACAATCATCATCAAAACAATAGATGATGATGATGAAGAAGAAGGTGGTGTACCGGTGCAGGGCTTGCCGCGGATGGCAAACTGGGTGATGAGTTCGGCCACGCAGCCGGCCAGCACGAAGAGGATACAGAAGTAACCGATGGCCTTGAGGATGACGTGAATGTGGCTCTTCTTGTGCGAGCTCTGCACGAGCGCCGCCGCCTTGCCGAAGAACGTGTTGAGACCCGTCGCGTGCACCACCGCCATCATCTCGCCCTGTTTCACTGTTTTTTCGTTGTTGCGCGTCGTTGCGAGTAAGACAAACACCAACTGTGCGTGTGCGTGTGCGTGTGATGGTACCGATGGAACCAGAGTAGACCTCGTCAGCGGGATATCGATTGACGGGCAGGGACTCGCCGGTGAGCGAGGACTGGTCGATCTTGAGCGAGTCGCCGTCGTCCAGAAGGTAGCAGTCGGCCGGCACGACGTCGCCCAGCCGGAGGAGCACCACGTCGCCCGGGACCAGGTCCACGCTGGGCGTGCCCGCCTGG